AAAAAAGCCATTTTAAAAAGTGGCAGCAGATACTTCCCAATTCATGCTTCATCCCAATCAATCAATAAGCATATTAAGCATCCATTCTGTGACAGGTACCTAGAAACTGGGGATACAAATACAGCCGCTAGATGGTGCAGTGGATAGAGTGCCAGTCTTAGAGTCAGGAAGACCCATCTTCATGGGTTCAGATCTGGCCTCAGACACTTACTAGCTTTGCCAGCTTGGGAAAGTAATTTAACCCTGTTGGCCTCAGTTTCCTCATTTGTAAAAATGAGCTGGAGAAAGCAATGGCAAACCACTCTAGTATCTTTGCCAATAAAACCCAAAATGGGGTCACAGATAAACTAGATGGCACAGCGGATAGAGAGCCAGGCCTGGAGTCAGGAATCCCAGAGTCCAAATTGAGCCTCAGATACTTACTAGCTGTGTGACCCTGGACAAGTCACTTAACCCTGTTTGCCTCAGTTTTCTCCATCTGTAAAATGAGCTGGAAAAGGAAAAGGCAAACCATTCCAGTATCTTTGCCAAGAAAATCCCAAAAGGGGTCACAAGGAGTCGGACATGACTAAACAACAACAACAACAACAACAATAGTTAGATATCAGACCAGACCTGGTATCAGGAAAACCTGGGTTCAATACCGGTCTCAGACACTTGCAAGCTGTCTGACCTTGGGCAAGTCACTTAATCTTTGTTTGCCTCAGTTTATTCATCTGTAAAAATGGGAGTAATAGTAGCACCTACCTCACAGAGTTGTTGTGATGCTACACTTCTGACTCTCTGGGACTTTCTTTACAATGTCTAACAGTACCTTCACTTTTCACCCCTTTTTATGTTCCTTTTTACACGTGATCTTCTCCCATTAGAATGCAAGCATCTTGAGTTCAAGGACTGCTTTTCTTTCTGCTTATATTTATGTTCCTACCACTTAGCACAGTGCCTGACTGACACATAGTAAGCATTTAATAAATGCTTGTTAACTTGACTTACAAAATGCTTTACAAGCTTTAACTGCTATACAAATGTTGGCTATTATTATCATTATCAACATCATCATCATTATATAAGATAAAGAAATAGACACATCCATAGTGATATCACTAAGGATGCTACAGGGGAGCCTGAAGATTGCAAAAGTCTGACCTGAGATTGTTCAAAGATCCCTAAATCATACTAGCCCTCTGAGTACAGATACACCAGAAAAGATGGCCAGCCAGCAGCAGGAACCCAGGAGATATAAGTCAGAACCAAACAAGTCCTTACAACCCCATCCAAGAGCTTGGGAAGGTGGAAGGATAAAAATTATCCAACCTAAGGACTGAGGCAAAGCTCTGAGCCAGTGGCACTTTATTAAAGGGTTCATGGTCTCTTCTAATAAAGTAGATCTCAGAGCTTCCTCGTGATCTGAGATGCCCCCTCCTTCCAGGGCCCTATTTTTGTAGTTAGATATCTAGACATTCAAGAACAGCTATACCAAATACAGAATAACTCCATTGGTTGACATGTGATACATAGGCTAAGATAAGCAAAAATCATCCATCAGCAGGGTAATAAGTTGGGTGAAGCTGTACAAAATGACTAATGTGGAAATGGTTTACATGATTGAACATATATAACCTATATCTGATTGTTTACTGTCTCAGGGAGGGGGGAGGGAAGGGAGGGAGGTATAGAATTGGAAGCTCAAAACTTAAAAAAAAAGTTTAGAAATTGTTTTAACATGTGATTGGAGAGGGAATACACACACACACACACGTGTGTGTGTGTGTGTGTGTGTGTGTGTGTGTGTGTGTTGTTAAAGGGATTTACTGCTACCAGTTTCTAACCTGAGAATGCTCAGAGGTTGCACAAAGCAGTCCTAGAGGCAGGAGTGCCAGTAATCAAGTAGCAGTTTAATTAATCAGTTTCAGAGTGAGGAATGTTCTTTCAGCTGAAGTAAAAGCATAGCTTATATACATACATATATCACAGGTGTGGAAGGAGGGGTGGGAAGGTGAATTATAAAGCAATCATTTTCCAGTGCAGGAGTGGTTTCCCACAACAAGCCCACGAGTCCACAATACAACAATTCTGGAGTCAAATCTTTGGGGGTCATGACCGCACCACAACCCACCCCACCAGGGTACAGAACCAGAATTCTGTGATGGGACCAGGTTCTACAGTCTTTAATTTGCTTCACTTAAGGCATATAGGCACAAGAATGCAGTGATTGTGAAAGCGTTGTCAAGGGTTTGATTGATCATTTCAAGCTGCGTCATTAATTCTGACTCAAGAGCCAGAGAGGCAGCTCTTGAGAAATCTAAATTATTAGTTTATATATTACACAGGTCATATAGATTAATATAAAATTCATAATTTCCTTCAATATATATGTATGTATGTATGTAAATATATATAAAATACATGTGTGTACATGTATATATGTATGTATATATAATATCTATGTATATTATAATATATATCATATGTATATGTATATAGAGTTAATGGTCTCTCTTCCCTCAATGTGGGGAAAAGTTCATGGCTACAGCTGAGGTTGGACAAGGGCTGAGAGGCTTGAAGGAAGTCAGGTGTGGAGGCTGGTACCATGGCAAAGGAGGCAAGGGAGGAGGAGGCACTCTTCAACTCCTTGAAGAACCCAGAGACTTCAGTGTGTGCCTTGACACAGTAAAGGTAAGGCTACAGACTCACTGAAGAGCCAGCCAGGACAACTTCTCCTCTCTTCTACTCTGAGACCTTTGTTTCAGAAAGATACTTGTTAAAGAGGGTGTTTGAGGCCTATACCAAGGAATGGTCCCTCCCATTGTTGGTGTCATGCCTATGTTTTCCGTGTGCCTCTTTGACTTTGGATTGGGGGAAAACTACAACAGAAGAACCTAGATAATGTATTGAATTATCCCCAGCTGTTTGCAACTGGGATGCTATCTGGTGTGTTCACAACAGGAATGATGACCCCCTGGAGAAAGGATTAGGTGTCTAATACAGATTCAAGCTTCTTCAGGAGAAACAAAATACACCAGTGCTTTGGACCATGCCAAAAAAAACTGTATCAAGAAGCTAGAATGAGAGAAGAGGGTGTCACATCCCTGTCATGAAATGAGGTAATATAAATTGAGCGTGTGGGAGAACCCCTTCTACACACCTTCCTCTATGATGAAAGATACCTTTTTTTCTTTGTGAAAAAAGAGTTAATGGTGTCATTGTGACTGGCTTGGAAAGTCCACAAATTAGGCCTCAGGAGCTACAGTCATGAGTAGATGTGAATTTTCCCTACTCAAGGATTATCTCCTCAGAATCTGAAAGGGTGTTGTAGCCATGTGACCACAACGACCTCCTCTACCCACCCCCAACCTAGGAAAACTGTTGTACTTGCCAGAGTGAATTCAGATTGGTGTGCGTGAATCAATCCAGAAAACAAGAATGGGGTTGTAGGTGGCATGCCAGGTGTCATACCCTTTACAATAATGTTATGCTACAATAGGATTTACTACAGTAATGTTATAAAGGAACTTGGGAAGTAAAAATTCTGATACACTCTGTACTGGTCAGATTACATCTGAAGCACCACATTTAATGAAAGATACTGATCAACTGGACAGTGTCTAGATGAGGGCAACCAAGATGGTGAACAATCAAAGGATCATGCCATATAACAATGAATTTAAGGAATTTGGGATGTTTGACCAGAAGAGAAGACATTTCAGGGAGAGTAGACAAGTTAACTGTTGCCAATTCCTTGATAGGTTATTACAGGGAAAAGAGATTATATTTATTCTGTTTAGTTGCAGATTACAGAACTAGGAACGATGGGTAGGCATTACAAAGAGACATATTTAGGCTTGATGTGATGAAAAACTTGCTAATAATTAGAGGTATCCAAAGGTAGAATTCTCTCTGACACATGTGGCTATGTGCCCGTGGATAAATCCTTTAACTTCTTGTTGCCCTCAGACAACTTTCTAAGACTATTAGTTGTAGAAGAGTTGGCCATTTGCTTTGATAGAATGACCTTCCTCTAGGGTGCCTATGTCAATGATATCAGAGATCTAGTCCCAAAATTAAATTCAAAACATATAATCAGACATTAAATGACACCATTACTTCTCTAGCTCCTGGTGCAAGAATAACTGCAACAACTTTACAGGGACTAGTGACCTAAGCAAAAATATTTGTAAAAGTTCCAATATGTTAAAAATGGTATTTTGTATAGGAGACTCTTGTTCAGGTATGTGTGGGATTCTGAGTTCTCTTCTCATCTAACATGGCATTAGAGGGATAGTATGACTTTATGCCTTATTTTAAAAAAATCATCAATACAAGAACTAAAGTTTTCTAATCCACTTTAACCTTGTTAACAGAGAATTAACCTTATAGAACTAAATAGAAGACAAGAGAAGGATTCAGGAGAGCATTATCAAATTTTTCCTGGGCACATCAACTTCAAAGTTGTAACAGTAATTTGCTGTACCCATAAATGAAAATGACTTCTCTCCTAGATTTGTTCTCCCCAGGCAAAAGTGATACTATGGAACTAAACAGCACAGTTGGTCTCTACCTAAACAGATGTATATAGATAAATTAAAATATGAAAAAATGCTGAATTTGGACAATATCAAAGAGAAAAATAATTGGGCTATGGGACAGGAAGTATTGCTGTAAGATTTTCAGTGTAACAGTTCCCTAATCAGTAGATTAGAATCCTTAGATCTTGAACTCCCACTTGATAATCTACAGTTTGGTTTGCTGCCACCGTACCCTTTCCTCTTCCAAGTCATTCTAGTGTGTTAGACTTTTGATCGAGGAAGGGTGTAGGCCCTTCCTCACTCCAGCAAGGGATTTCTCTGTTACAGTTCCTCCCTTTTCCTTGCACTTTCCCTTATAATAACAATTCCACAGAAATGAAAAAAAAAATGGCTCCTTCTCCTCCTTGGAAAATTACTGGGAATTCCTGCTCATGAGTCAGAGAGTGTGGAAAATAAGGGCAGACTCCAGAAGAAGCCCCACCTCTTCATAATTGAGTTATAAATACACTGTGCTGTAGTGCACTCTGCAGAACTCTTTCTTGCTGATTCTTTGTCTGGATTGCTTAACCTGTTGAGTTTTGTAAGTAAACACTTTTTCTGATAGTATTTTTTAAATGTGTATTTTAGAGATTTATGGAAAAGCCACAGTTCCTGGTCCAGAGGCAGGATTTCTGAGTTCTATGTATAGATCTTTAATTTGACCTGTTGAAACAGTTGAAATCTTAGAACTCTAGACACTGGGGTAATACACAAGACTAATATACAGAAATTATATCCAAACCTATGTCTGTGTCTTGGTTTTTTGCATATGAGAATGTTTACCAAGATTGTAGCTTAGGTCACTAGTCCCTGTAACGTTGTTGTAGTTAGCTCCTAGAGAGGAGATGATATCATTTAATTTCTGACTGCATATTTTATATTTAACTTTAAGGCCAGACCTGTGATATCACTGGCATAGGCACCCTGAAGGAAGGCCATTCTACCAAAGCAAATGGCCAATTTTTCTACAACTAATAGTCTTAGAAAGTTGTCTGAGGGCAATGAAAAGTTAAGGAATTTATCCAAGGGTACAGAGCCAGCCTGCGTCAGAGGTTGAAGTTTAACCCAGCTCTTGCTGACTTTGAGAACAGCTCAATATTCATGATGCCCTGATGCTTCTCTTAATTTTTTTTTTTACAACTTAATCAATGGCTTGGCAGAAAAACAGATGAAATGAGGGAGGGGCAGGATGGATTGTTGTTATCAAGTCACTGGTAATTCTTTTGAGGGTCCAGGTTATTTTTTAAGACACTATCTATACTCTCTTTTACATCTGTGAGGGGCAAGAGAAGTTAAAGACAGAAAAAATTGCATGTATTAACCATACTGCCATAATTACTAATTATAATCACTGTATATTAAGGGTTTTGGGGGGAGGAGAATATTCACTGGAGCTAAAATAGAAACCTGTATCTTCTCAATACTATGGTCATACAAAGCCCTCACCCATGTTTGAATTTCCCTGAAATATGACTTAACTATGAGAATCCCCTTATCTAACTGATTTACTACCTTTTGGTTTCATTTTTGAGCTAGTATGATTTTTATTAAAAAAAAACAAAAACAAAAACAAAAACACTGCACACCTCAAGAGACAAATAAGAGGAAAGAAGCACATTACAGTGACTTGCACAATGAAAAGTTTTAGCCACAGCCCCACTTTTCAAATTCTGAAAAGCTCTTTTTTTTTAGTCCCTCCTTGAAATCAATTATTTGTTACTGTTTGCTGTTTCACAATGCTTTGTGCTAAAGGCACAACCTCCCTATGACTCATTAGGTGGAATTTTAGTTAAACATTAAGGATACAGATAAAAAACCAGTATAGAAGTATGAAAAAGTAACTTGTCATAACACAGCTACCTTGTGGTAACACTATTACCCAAGTTACCATATTCTTCCTACCCATGATCCAGACACACTACACTTCGACAGAACATGCTATTACAGCTTTCCATCAGAGCTCACTCCATACTAATATAAACTACATGAAGAAAAATACTAGTTAGATACTAGTTATCAGTTCAACTTCCTAAAAGCTAACATTCCTAATAGCTAATATTCATATAATGCTTTAAAATTTACAGAAGTTCTTTATAAATAGTATTTCATTTTATCCTCAAAACAACCTTAGGATGAAGGTGCTATTGTTATCTCTAATTTATAGATGAAAAACTGAGGCATATAGAGGTTAAGTGACTTGCCTGTGTTCACACACCTAGTAAATACCTGAAGCAGTATTTCAATTCAGTTTCCTGGTTCCCAATCCAGCACTCCCACCAAGTTGCCTCAATAGAGCCCTCCTTTAAAGTTAGGAAGTACAAACCAATATATTGACCAAAGAAGTTAGTCTAAATGACTTGCCTATGGTTACAGAAGTAATAAGTGGCAAAGTCTAGATTTGATCCCAAGTCTGACTCCAGATTGAGTGCTCATCCCACTGCATGGTGCTATGGGTAACTGCATGCAATAGAATTTGATTGTGCCCTATTAAAAATTACCAATATGAAAAATACAAAGAAATGCAGGGAAATTTATGAAAAGTAATTCACAGAGAAAAAAGGTAGAGTCAAAACAATATACATACTGATTACACTTATCTCTAATAATGATAGAGGAAAACATCAGGAAAATTCACAACGGAATAACTATTTCTACGGGAGAAAAATGAAAGTGAACAGGGCACTTTTGTAATGATCTTGTTAAAGTTAATGTATGTGGGGTTTTTTTTTAACTGAACAATGAAGTTTATGCTTTTAAGTAAAATAATTTTGTACTCTTGTTTCTCTTGGGCACTCATTTTACATTTTTTAAAAAGAAAATGGAAATGAACCAAGAATACGAAAGAAGTCAACTTGGTTTTCCCTTCTATTTTAAATGAAGGAAATATTGTGAACTAAGAAAATAAATAAAGAATGAAAGTTGCTGGGTTTTTCTTTTTTCACCTTCAGAATTTATGGACTAAGAATAGCAAAAACCAGTTAAGCAAAGGCTATGAATTGAGGGTTCACAGTGCCATCTTGTGGTTAGGTGGTATTAATATGACTTCTCCACAAAAGTCAGGGTTTCTTTAAAGGGAGAGGCATAGTGTGCCAAAATTAATTTGACCATATTAATTTGATTGAGAGTAAGGAAGTAGAAAAACTAGCAGTATCTTCATGTTCACAAAGGCAATGTTCATAGGATTTACAATTGGAAGGGACCATACGTAGCCCAATTCTCACCCTACCCACATTTTATAGATGAAAAAACTAAGTCCTAGAAAGATAAAGTGACTTACCTAAGGTGACACATTCGTTCAGTTGCAGAACTGGGATGCTTTGTTGTTTTTTATTTTTTTTTTTTTTGAGGCAAACAGGGTTAAGTGGCTTGCCCAGGGTCACACAGCTAGTAAATGTCTAAGCCCAGATTTGAACTCAGGTCCTGCTGACTCCAGGGCCAATACACTATTCACTGTGCCACCTAGCTGCCTCAAAGCTGGCATTCTAACATAGGCCCTCTATTCTGAATCCAGAATTTTCTGGGCCATGCCACAGTTACCCCTTCAGTGTTGCAAAATAAGAGCAACCATGGTAGGGTCTGTTCATGTTCAATTCATTCACTCACCAAACACTTGTTAAGTGCCTACTAAGTTTCAGATACTACTAGGAACTGGGAATACAAATGCAAAAGTGGAACAAACACTACCCTCAAGAAGTGTACATTCTACCACAGATAAGGTTTTATGCAAAATAATACACTGTAATGAAGGAAGTAACAATTTGGGAGATCAGGAAAGGACTCTTAAAGGTGATATCTCTTTAGTTGAGTCTTGAAGGGAGACAGGAGTTCCAAGAAGCAAAGTCAAAGAGTGATGGCACTCCAGGCAAGGGAGGAGAAGGTGAGATTTTATGCACAGGAATCATCAAGTAAACCAATTGGCTGGAACATAGGCCATTCAAGGTGGAAACTCCCAAGCCAAATCACCAAAGTCATATAAAAGGTGGAATTGTAGAGTGTGGAAGTTGAATGAGACCTTTAAAATTACATAATCTTCCCCTCTCATTTTGGAGTTGAAGCAATTTTCACACATTTCTTTTTTCAATTTATTTATTTATTTTTAGTTCTCAACATCCACTTCCATAAGACTTTGAGTTTCAGATTTTCTCCCCATTTCTCCCCTCCCCCTACCCCAATTTGAAAAATGCTCTACATATACATTCATATTGAACCTATTTTTACATTATTCATGTTGTAAAGAAGAATTAGAGCCAATGGGAGAAACCATGAGAAAGAAGAAACAAACAAAAAAAAAGAAAAAAAGAGGGAGAGAACAAATAATATGCTTTGATCTGCATTCAGACTCCATAGTTCTTTTTCCGGATGCAGACAGCATTTTCCATCACTATCCTTTGGAGTTGTGTTAGATCTCTGCATTGTTAAGAAGAGATGAGTCTATCAAAGTTAGTCATTGCACAATGTGGCTGTTACTGTGAACAATGTTCTCCTGGTTCTGCTCACTACACTCAGCATCACTTCATTCAAGTCTTTCCAGGTTTTTCTGAAGTCTGCCTGCTCATCATTTCTTATAGGACAACAGTATTCCATTATATTCATATACCACAACGTGTTCAGTCATTCCCCAACTGATGGGTATCCCCTCAATTTCCAATTATTTGCCATGTCAAAAATAGCTGCTATAAATATTTTTGTAATGTGGGTCCTTTTCCCATTTGCATGATCTCTTTGGGATACAGATATAGGACTAGTATTGCTGACTCAAAGAGTATATACAGTTTTATAGCCCTTTGGGCATAGTTCCAAATTGCTTTCCAGAATGGTTGAATCATTTCATAACTCTATTAACAATGCATTAGTATTGCAGTTTTTCCACATCTTCTCTAGCATTTATCATTTTTCTGTTTTGTCATGTTAGCCAATCTGATAGGTGTGATATGGTACCTCAGAGTTGTTTGGATCTGCATTTCTCTAATCAATAGTGATTTAGAACATTTTTTCATATGACTATAGATACCTCTAATTCCTTCATCTGAAAACTGCCTATTCATATCCTTTGACTATTTGTCAACTGGAAAATGACTTGTGTTCTTACAAATTTGACTCAGTTCTCTATATATGTGAGAAATGAGGCCTTTATCAGAGACAGTGGTTGTAAAAATTCTTTCCCAGTTTTCTGCTTCCCTCCTAATCTTGGTTGCTTTGGCTTTGTTTGTGCAAAAACTTTTCAACTTAATGTAATCAAAATTATCCATTTTGCATTTCATAATGTTCTCTATCTCTTGTTTAATGTTAAATTCTTCTGTTCTCCATAAATCTGACAGGTAAACTATTCCTTGATCTCCTAGTTTGCTTATAACCATTATATCTAAATAGTGTACCCATTTTGATTTTATTCTAGTATACGGTATAAGATGTTGATCTGTGCCTAGTTTCTGCCATACTCTTTTCCAGTTTTCCCAGAAGTTTTTGTCCAATAATGAGTTCTTATCCCAGAAGCTGGAGTCTTTGGGTTTATCAAACAGTAGATTACTATAATCATTACCGTAGTCACACATTTCAATGGATAGTCAATGGCAAAGCCAGGACTCAAACTCAAATGTTTTGAGGCTAAGTTCAATGGTTTTTTCCCCCACAACAACAGGCACAAGTTTATTTTGTGGGGAGTGCTCTTACAGCCACAGTGTGGGTTATGATCCTCTCAAAAACCTGTATTTATATGGAATCAATCAAAGGTCAAAAAAGAGACAATTGGGTTTTTGATAAAGGGTAAGTAACCATGGGGAAGCCAATTACTGGGTTGTAATTTAAAGAGGTGTTTCTATTTCCATTCCAGGAGCTTCAGGATGGTTTGTGCTAAGTGCTGGACACTGAAGAAGCACTTTGTAGGACTACCAACCAAAAGTGATTTTGAGCTAAAGGAGGTTCAGCTACCAGCCTTAAAAAATGGAGGTAAGTCATATTTAATTTCTGGACAGTCCAGTCAATTAGCATTTATTAAGAATCTACTATGCGCTAGGGATTGTGCTAAGTGCTGGAGATACAAAGAAAGGCACAAAATAATCCCTCATCTCAAGAAGTTCACACAGACTAAGGCGGGAAACAACATGCAAACAACTACATACAGACAAGCTACATAGAGGATAAACTGAAAACAATCTCAGAGAGAAGGCACTAAGATTGAGGAGGACTAGAAAAGGCTTCTAGCATAAGAGAGATGTTAGCTGATATTTGGACAATGCCAAAAAAGTCAGGAGGCAGAAATGAGGAGGGAAAGAATTCTAGGCATAGTGAAAACGCTCAGATTCAGGAGATGGAGTATATTATTCAAAGAACAAGAAGGCCAAATTTATTGCATCATAGTTTGTGGATAGTAGGTGTAAGAAGATTAGAAAGGTAGGAAGGGGACAAATTATGAAGGGCTTTATAAGCCAGAGGGTTTTCTATATTTGATCCTGGAGGTAATAGGGATCCACTGGAGTTTATTAAGTTGGAAAGTGAGGTGTGATATGATCAGATCTGCACTTTTCTAAGAAGATCAAGATGGTGCCAGAGAACATGTCATTATTTTGTTTTCCTTAATGATAGAAATATTAATAATAATAATAATCAATATTTTCCTTAATGATCCTTAATTAAGAAGTTTACTGTCTAATTGGGGAGGTTGAGAAGAGCAAAAATAGGTGAGAAGAGCAACATGAAACAGCAAATGGTTTGCAATAAGAAGACTTGGGCTTAAGTCCTAGTTTTAACAACTTACTAGCTGTATGACCTTGGGCAAGTCACTTAACAGCTCTGTGCCTCTGTTTCCTTATCCATAAAACTGAGATATTAATACCATGATAAATTGGAAAGAGCATTGGACTTAGAATCAATTTAGATCAATTTAATCAACCTTATTTAGGTGCCTCCTCTGTAAAAAACAAAAAACTTTGTGGGCTCTAGGGATAAAAAGACAATAATTAATACTTTTTCCTCAAGGAATTTATATTCTGAGTTAGAGTCCTCACTTTGGCACTTACTAAGTGACTGGAGGCCAGTCACTGAACCTCTCTTACCTCTTTTTTCCTCATTTATAAAAATGATATTTAAATACCAGGGTATAAAGTTCATATCTTACTCTTAAGGGCAATGGTGGTAGCAGAGGACTGACATGGTCAAATTTTTATCAAAAACAATTAATTTGGCAGCTATAGAAGGATGATATATGTGTATGTATGTATATATACATATACACAATACACATATACATATATGCACAATACACATATATATACATACACATATGTATACACATATAGGTCACTGAACTATGGTAATGGCTTTGTGAATGAAGAGAAGAAGATAGATTCCCAAAATGTTGTAGAGGAGAACTTCCAAAACTTTGCAACTGGTTGAATGTGGGGGAAGGGTGGAAAGAGAAGAGAGAGAGAAACAAAAGTGAAGAGTAGAAAACAACTCTGAAATTTCAAAACTGGGTGACTAGAATGATGGTGGTGCTCTCAGGACCAATGGAAGATCAGTGCCCTGGGAGTCAGGGGACCTGGGTTTTCTATCCCACCCCTGACACTTACTTGCCCAGGTGATCTTGGGCAAGTCATTTTAACCTCACTGGGCCTCAGTTTCCTCAGCATTAAATTGTGGGGATTGGACTAGTTGGCCTCTACAGATCTGTTCCTCCCAGCTCTAAATCTATAATCCTGTGATCTAAAGAAATAGGGAAGTTTAGAGGAGCATTAGTTTTAGGGGAAACGATAATGAATTGTTAAGAAATTACTTTTGGGGGAAGCTAGGTAGAGCAGTGGATAGAGCACCAGCCCTGAAGTCAGGAGGACCTAAGCTCAAATCCCATCTCAGACCAGACACTTGACACTTACTAGCTGTGTGACCCTGAGCAAGTCACTTAACCCCAATTGCCTCACCAAAAAAAGAAAAAAGAAATTACTTTTAAGACCACAAACCACTCTATAAATGGAGTGGTTTGTGGTCTTAAAAGTAATTTCTTTTTTATTCCTCTATAAGTGGAGGTTGGTACTGTCATTACCTACTTGATAGAGTTGGTATGAATATTGGGAAAATAATGCATACGAAAGTTGTCACAGTAAAGCACTGTAAAAATGATAGGTATTGTTGTTATTGAGAGATATTGGAAACTCCCTGCTTAAAAAAAATCCATTGCATATCATTATATGACATATCCTTCGTGGTGAAAAGCAATCACACAATTAAGTAATTATGGTTGTAGTTCCAGGTATACACTATTACTGCACCTTTCTTCCCAATTCTTCATCTTGAATAAGACCCTGGTTAGCTTTTTTTTCTTCCTCCTTTTTGTCTCTTCTGCATGATAGTTCCAAATCACTATTACAATGACTGGATAGACCAGTTGATTTTTTTTCCAAGGAAAGGGCCCAATTAATGATGAGAAAACTCCTGATACCATTTCCATCATGGGCTTCAAGAAAAGTACATGAGTTTACTGGAGAAGTAAGAATACTTACTAGATAGGCAAAGAGGGAACTTGAGATCACAAATCTTTAATTCTAAAATGTCCTCCAAAAGCATAGTCAATATATACCTCATGTCAAAATAAAAATCAAATGCCCTTCTATGTAAATGGAATCACACTACAGTGAATTCTTGGAACTCTCTTTGTTCCTGAATTTCATATAGTAAAAGCATCATATAGAGTAACTTAAGGAACTTAGAATCCCAGAATCTCACAGGGGTCTTTCAAGACCATCTATTTTTTTGACCATGTCTAAACAAGAATCCTCTCTACAATAATGCCAACAAGTGGTGTTCTGCTTGAAGACTTCCTGTGAAGGAAAAAATACTACTTCCCTATGTAGCCCACTCTGAAGCAGTTCTTTTTTTTTCAACATAAGTTTTTATTGGCATTTTCTGTTTCTCACATTGTCATAGTTATACCAAGTATTCCTCCCCATTCCCAAAAACCATGTAACAAATATTTTTCAGAGAGGAAAAAAAATCAGCACCTATTGATTAAAAAAGTCCCAAAAGACATACAACGTGTAACACTGTGAACCTCTCACCTCCATGAAGGGATGGGTTGGGGATGTCCCCTCATATCTTTGCATTTGAGTCCTGCTTGAGCTTTATAATTTTGTTATATTTACTTTGATTTTTTTTTTTTGGTGTGTAATTGTTCTTTCCACATGTATAGTTTTCTTGGCTCTGTTTACTTCACTCTACATCATTTCATATAGTTCTTTCCATGCTACTATGTATTCACACATTATTTCTATAGCACAATAACATTACATTATATACGTGTCCTACAGTTTGTTTAGCTGTTTCCCGGTTGATGGGAATCAACTTTGTTTCCAATTCTTGGCTATCACAAAAAGTGCTGCTATAAATATTTTGTAACACATGAGGATTTTCTTATCAATGACTTCTTTGGGCTATAAGCCCAGTAATGAAGTCTCTAGTTCAAATAGTATAAACAATTTAGTCACTTTATTTGCATAATTTCAAGTTGTTTTCCAGAATGGCTGAACCATTTCACAGCTCGACCAAAAATGTATTAATGTGCCTATCATTCTACAACCCCTTCAAAACTTCTTATTGCCATTTTTGTCATTTTTGCTGGTTTTTAGGGTGTGAAATGAAACCTCCAGATTGTTTTGATTTTCATTTCTCTTTTTATTAGTGATGTAGAGTATTCTTTCATGTGGTTGTGAATACTTTACAATTCTTTATTTGAGAACTATTTGTTTATATCTTTTAGCCATTTATTTATTGGGCAATGGCTATTAGTCACATATATGTATATGTATATGTGTGTACATATATATGCATATATATCTCATGAATAACAAACCTTTATCAGACAAATTTGATACAAAGATTTTTTCCCATTCTACCACTTTGCTTCTTATCTTACATGCATTAATGTTGTCTGTACAAAAGCTTTTCAGTTTAATGTAATCAAGGCTATCTGTTTTATCTTTTATAATTCCTTTTATCTCTTTTGGTTAAGAATACATATCCAACTCATATTTGTAAGAGTTTCACAAAGTTTTATTATTTACCTGTGTCCCTCCCCAGAAAGATAACTGAACCCTCTAGTGGCCATCTGCTGCAATAACCCTCAATGAACATGTGTGTGTATTTTATCTTCTAAGTCAGGAGTCTGTAGCTGTGAGTTTGTGAACTTTAAAAAAAAAACCATTTCATAAATGTATTTCAGTACAATAAATGTCTTTATAATCCCATATTTTTATTTCATGCGTTTAAAAACAATATTCTGAGAAGGGGTTTATAGGTTTTACCAGATTGCAAAAGAGGGCCAAGACATGCAAAAAGATTAAGAATCCCTGTTCTAAGTAAGCATACTGTATTAAAAGTATTTTTGTTCTTAAGTTAACAAGTTCTGAAATTTTGTTTTGCAGAGGTCCTCCTTGAAGCTTTGTTCCTCAGCCTTGACCCCTACATGAGGTATTATTTTTTCAAAGCATAAAATCCTTTAAAATACCTTTTGGCATAAAAATGTTCTCATAGCAGTCTACTTGTTCTTTCTACTATAACCTGTGGCTCAGAGTCCTCAAAGCTCTGGTTTCACATGGACGAGGTTTGTCCTTGGGGATTATCTCAAAAAAAAGTCATTATCCTTGGCATAAGATAACCCATTCACATATTAACTACTTGCGGTAGTGTTTGAATATAATTTGTGTCTAGCTAATGTGTGTTGTTGTTGTGTTGTTGTTCAGTCATGTCCAATTCTTTGTGACTCCCTTTGGGGTGTTCTTGGCAAAAATACTGGAGTGGTTTTTCCATTTCCTTCTCCAGCTCATTTCACAGTTGAGGAAACTGAGGCAAACAGGGTCAAGTGACTTGCCCTATCTGAGTGTCTGAGGCCAGATTTGAACTCTGGTATTCCTGACTTCAGGCCTGGCTCTCTATCCACTATGACACTTACTTGCCCCAGCCGATGTGTAGGCTTCTACAAATATGGGTAACCTAATTCCTTTACAAGTACTCAGTGCAAAAAAAAAGATACAGATAGATAGATAGATACACATACATACCTACATATATATATATATATATATATACACATTATACATACATATATAAACACACATATGCATGTATGGATGCAGATTGATGAGATATGGTATATGAGCTTACATGACCCAATACAACACGACACGACACAACACGATATGATATGATAAAAGGAAGCATTTATTTAATTCCATAGAACTTTTTGGTCTTAAGACTCCTTTATACTCTCAGAAATTATTGTTTTTTGTTTATGTGGGATATATATGTGTGTGTATGTGTATATACACACATACCTATATATGCATATATATATATACATGCATATACATATATATGTATATAAATTTGCCATATTAGAAATTAAACATCTTATTATTATTATGAAAATAGTTTTAAACTCAGGGACCCCCAGAGGTTGCTAGACTACACTTTGAGAACAGCTGCCATAGAGAATAAAGCACATGCAAAGGGTGCACTCACAAGAGCCTATAAACAAACATGGGAAACAAAATATCCACAATAGTTCATAAGTAATCAGCACAATTCTCTTCCTTCTCTTGTGAATGTCACTTTTCCAAAGGGTCCTACACAGCCGCTCCCAGAATCCTGGTGCCAGTCTGTAGTTTGGACCCTCCCTGTAAGGCAGACACACACTGGAGCTGCTGAACTGTGTAAATCACTTACAGTGATAACAGAGAGCAAAATACAGGTCTTCTGCCCTCTACTTCCATGTCATGGCTTTAAGTCCTTTATTATTTCCCTAAGTCCTTTATTATTTCCCCATTTGGGAAAAGGGTGAAGGAATGAGGTGGGATAAAATTCAAGGTAACCTCCAAAAGTAGCACTGCCCAAGAAATCTCCTTTCACTGGAAGACCTCCTAGCAAATCAAGTTTCTTCACCCCCACTTCACCCCCATCATAGGAGATTCAGAAACATGGTCCATATACTCCCCTCTCAGACCCAGAGTGCAAGCACAAGCTAGCTTCTGCTAGGCATTTGTGCAAGAACTCTTGATATCCCACCACCACCCAGGCTGCTTCCATCTTTGGGGCTAGAAAAAAATCCAGCCCCATTTTCCAGTCTTTGAACTATATTCTGAGAGTGAAACAGAGTCAGAAGGTACCAGGAATCCCCTCTCAAGCCATGTCAGCAGGAAGATGCAGCTTCCAATAAGTTTCTGCTGAAAGGCAGCTATTTTTGACAGGGAAGAAAAGGGAGAAATACCCTCTTCCCTATCCACCTGTATTAAGGGAAAAAGGTACAAGGGATAGATAGATAAATGGATAGATAGAAAGATAAATGAATGAATAAATAAATCAATGGATGACTGGGTAAATGGATTAATTAATTAATAGAATTTATATAGCACTTTAAGGTTGGCAAAGCCCTTCACAAATATTATCTCATTTGATCCTCACAACAACCCTGGGAGGCAGATGCTATTACAATCCCGGTTTTACAGTTGAGGAAAATGAGGTTAAATGATTTGTCCAAGATCACACAGCTAATAAATATGTGAGGTCAAATTTTAACTTATATCTTCCTGACTATAGGCCTGACATTCTACATACTTTGCCACCTAGCCACTTCAAAGAAAGATCTGTGGGGCATTCTCTACAAGCTAGCATAGACCAGCAGCCATTCTGAAAACAATCTATTCATCTTCCCAAGAATCTTATCCAATCAAATAATTTTGGTAACAATTCTAGTCACTAAAACCCATCCTTTGAAAGCACCGAGGGATTGCTTTAAATGAGCTAAATCATTCTGGGACAACCAAAATTCACAAGATTCAATCAATAGTTGTCCTGGTCCTCCCTACAAGGACAATGGACATATCCCCAGTTCATAAAGAGAGGTACTTTCAAAAGTCCCAGATAAGGTTTATCACTCTATAAGTCCAAGCTTTGATCAAGTGAATGTCTACAAGAAACTGAGAAGAAGATAAGAGGAAGAAGTGGGAAAATTCAAATCACTCTAGCAAAAGATTTTAGCATCAGAGGGAGTTAGAAGAAAGGAGATATTGACAATTTACCTTAGATTATGGAATACTTTCATTTATCTATACTAATATTCTTCCTACTTTCACACAATCTAAAATTAACTATAGTAAAATATTTATGTTCTCAAATCCCTTAGCCTGAAGACCACTTTAGGAACCTATCCCCTCTTGCTACTAGAGTGGAAAAAACAAACAATACATCCTCACCACCTAATGCTCCCCACCCCCAAAATAAGTCAGCTACAATTATATTTGACCTAGATTTATACCATAACCAATGTTTTATTATACTCACTTGCAAATTAAAATCTGCAATAGAAAATTCTTTTTTTAAAAAAAATCCCCTTTATTTTGCGGAAGTACAACAAAAATTTATTTCAGGTCACATTCAGGTCAACAAAAATTTATTAAATATTTTCTATGTGACAAGAATTGTGTTAGATATTGGGCATACAAAGAAAGACAAAAATACAATCTCTTCCCTCTAAGATTTTACATTCTAATGAGGTAGAAAACATGCAAACAAAATACATACAAAATATATACAGAGAAGATAGAAGGCAGTCTGAGAGAAGAAGGGATTAGTACCCAAGGAAACTAGAAAAAAAGCCTCCTAAAATACATCAAATTTAAGCTGAGTTTTGAAAGGAAGTCAGGGAAGCCAAAGACAAAAGGGAGAAGGCAAAGCATTCCAGTCCCTGGGAAAGGACAGAAGAAAAGGACAGAGGGAGGGAGGAAGAAAAGATTTATTAAACACCTCCTATGTGTCAGGCACAGTGCTAAATGCTTTACAAATATTATCCCATTTGATCCACACAACAACCCTGAGGAGTAGGTACTATTATTATCCTCATTTTAGAGATGAAGGGGCAGCTAGATGGCACAGCAGATAAAGCATCAGGCCTGGAGTCCGGAAGAGCTCAGTTTAAATCTGGCCTCAGACATTTACTGAGTAACCCTCAGCAAGTCCCTTAACTCTGTTTGCATCAATTTCCTCACCTTTGAAATGAGCTGAAGAAGGAAATGGCAAACCACTCTAGTATTTTTGCCAAGAAAACCCTAAAAGGGGTCACAAAGAGTAAGCAAAAACTGAACAACCACAACATAGATGGGGAAACTGGAGCAGAAAGAGATGAAATGAATTAATTGCTGAGTTACACAACTAAAGAAATATGTGAGTTCAAATTTGAACTCAGATCTCAGTGCTCCATACAAAGGTACAGAAACGGGATAAAATGCCATATTTGAGGAACTCTAAGTAAGCCAGTGTTGCTGGAATATAGAGTATGTGAAGAAGAATAAAATGTAAGAAGTCTAGAAAAATAGGAAGGACACAGGTTATGACAAGCTTTAAATGTCAAATAAAGGAGTATATACTGTATGCTATGAGTAAAAGCAAGCTGCTGGAGCTCCTTGAGCAGAAGGTTGACATGGTCAGACCTACTCTTTAGAAAACAATATCATTGGTATATAGAATATATAGACTTACGTATGTATGTATCCTTGATTACTCATATATGTATATATGTATTGTGCATATACATGTACGTACATGTGTACATGCATGTATATTGCACATACACTATCATATAGGTATGTTGTGTTTTGTGAACACAGCATTGTGTTTATATTGTGTGGTATACATGTGTTGGTGTGTGTATATAGGCATAATATACATGAGTGTATACACATACACATATACATACATACATACATACACATAGAGAAAACCAGTCTCTGAGACAGATAGAGAGAGAGAGAGATCTTGAAGACTGGATTTCTCTGTCTCGCGCAGGCTGAAGTGCCATTCATGACCTATCTCCACTGATGCTTGGGACAGCTGGTTAGCTTAAGCCTGCTCAGAAGGCCTGATCTCCTGTACTCCAGCCTCTTTTTCCCCAGTAGCAGTGATTATAGGAGTGCACCACCACATCCAGTCAGACCCTGCAGCTTGAAGAATGTTGTTCAAAACTTATTTGTGAATGTAAATGATACCAAACTCATTGGTTATTTCAGCGAAGGGGAAGCAGGGATATGTATCAAACCAGTTCTTTGGCATCAGGCACAGCGGACATATTTATGTCATTTTGCCATCATGGTGACATCATCTGAGTAGTTTTTTCAGAACCATTTCAGAGTGACAGGTATAGATTCCTTCTTCCCAGATTTTATGAAATAACCACAAATTGAATATGAACAGGTTTATCACTGTTACTTTAAACCCAAGGTAAAATATTCCAGTTTACCAGAGATACATTAAAAAATGTATCACTGTTGATGTTTGTATTTTTCAGAATTGCTGTGAAGAGGTCTTTGAAAGAGGGTGATACAATTATGGGAAGCCAAGTTGCCAGGTACTTAACTACTTTTGGTTTGTCTGTGTGCTCTTAAAAAAAAGCTGGGGGCCCTTTTGTGTGACCTCAACCTTGAGTGTCTGAGCCATTAGAGTCTTTCTGAAACACTCTCTTTGTCACAATGCTCCACCTCCGCCCCCTCCCCAACCATGGAAACACATACATACCTTTGCTTGCTAAGTTCCCTCTCTTCTCAATTATTCAAAATACATGAAAAATTCTTCAACTTCTCTCATAAATCAGGAAGAAGGGTGGAATTTTCACCTCTCTATCTAGGTTTAATTTACCATGATTCCTATGTCCATTGACTACTACTACTAAATTCTTGTACTTGCAACAAAAGTTATTTATGTTTGAATTTATTTATTAAGGGTTTTTCCATTTGTATTTCTACTCCAGATAGATAGATACATATATACATAGATAGATAGATGATAGATAGACATAGATACATATATTTATGTGTGTTTAAACACACACTCACACCATTTGGCTTAAATGATAAACTATTAGATTAATTGGGTTGGGGTATATTATTGGGTTTCTTAGAGCCATGATCAATTGGTATTTTTAAGCATCTTCTAGGTATAAGGCACTGTGCTAAAATGCTGTGGATGTAAGACAAAATTAAATAGTCTCTACTCTCAAAAAACATACTCTAATGAGAGAGAGAAGCTATATATATAAGTATATAAAGAATATATGAAATTAATAAAAGGTAGTTCTGAGATAACTAATAATAATTATTATAATAATAACTAACATTTACATGGTGCTTTAAGGTTTGCAAAGTGCTTTACAGGGGCAGCTAGGTGACATAGTAGACAGAGCATTGGCTCTGGAGTCAGGAGGACCTGAACTTAAATCTGGGCTCAGACACTTACTAGTTGTGTGACCCTGGGCAAGTCACTTAATCCCGATTGCCTCCTAAAAACAAAATACTCTACAAATACTATTTCATTTGATCCTCATAACAATTGTGGGGGGGAGGTGCTATTATTATCCTCATTTCACAGCTGACAAAACCAAAACAAATAATGGTTAAGAGACTTATTCTAAGTCACACAGTAACTAACTAAAGCAGAATTTTAACTCAGGCCTTCCTAACTCTAGGTCCAGCATTCTATCCACTGCATTACTTTGCCAGTAGCTAGTAGCAATAGCTGGGGAGATCACAAAAGACTTCATGTAGAAGGTGGTGCTTCACCTGAATCTTAAAGTTTCCTTCAGGGAAGTTGTAAAGCATCCTTTGGGAACTCAAAATGCAGAGATGGAAAGACTGTTTGTCCCAGACATGGTAGACAATTAGTGCAAAGATCTAGATATAGAATAAAGAGTATTATATGAAAGGAACAGTGCCTATAGGACAGTATAGCTGAAATTTAGAGCATATGGAAGTTATTAAAGTATTTTTTTTTAAACTCTAAAGGTAGAAAGGACCCAGGTTATGAAGAAATGAAAATGCCAAACAGATTTTCTTTGATCCCAGTGTAAATAGAGAGTCACTGGAAAACTCCAGAGAGTAGTAGGTGGATGACATGGTCAGACCTGTACTTTCGGAAAATCACTTTAGGGCTATTGGAAAGGGGAGAGACTTGAGGCAGAGGGTACAAGTTGAAGGCTTTTGCCAACAAAAGGTAATAAGGCCCTGAACTAGGGTGGTGGCCATGTGAGTGGAAAGAAGAGGACATAAGCAAGAGACATTATGGAGATAGAAACAAGATTTGGCAGTTGGTTGTGGCATGAGGGACAGTGAGGAGTCAAGGATGACATCAAGATTACAAACCTGGGTTGCTAGAAAGATGTTAGAGGGAAGGGTATGAAGGGAAGAGAAAAGAAACAAGGGTAGAGAATGAAACAAACATTTATTAAACACCTTCTATGTGCAAGGCACTATGTGAAGATTTTTAAACTATGGTCTTGTTTAATCCTCACCACAGTCCTGGGAGGTAGATACTATTATCTCTTCTACAACTAAGGAAACTGAGGCAGGTAGAGATTAAGTGGCTTGCCTGGGATTATACTACTACTAAGTGTCTGAGAATGGATTTGAACCCAAATCTCCCTGACTCCAGGCTTAGCACTCTATCCACTGGGCTATCTAGTTGGCGCAGTGCTCTTAACAATTATAGGGAGTTTTAGAAGAGAAAGTGAATTGGGTGGGGAGAGAGGAGGGAAATGGTAACTTCTGTTTTGGATTTGCTGAGTTTGACATGCCTACAGGATATCCATTTCAAATGTCTAGCTTATCATGTAGGACTAGAGCTCAAAAAAGAGAGAGTAGTGGCTCTGCTACTCTAACTAAACTAATTGTGTGAACACAAGATGACCTAATATCTCTGGGCTTTAAATTTCCAATCTATAAAATAATAGAGTTGAACTAGATGCTTCTTACGATAATTCTTTGAGCTCTTCCAATAGTCTGCCTCCCAGACAAGTCTCAGTTGGTCTTTGTCTCCATGGTAGTCTTGTTTTCTCTCATTTTCCTATCTCTGAATTTCAAAAAACGTATTCCAAAAAGCAGCACTTGGAATTTTACCTGTCACTTGTGGCCTGAAAAGGAGAGGCCTTCCCACAAGGAGCCTCTGCTCTGAACTCAGGTTTAGTCCTCAAAGAGCCTGACCCCAAGGAGAGGCTTTTTCTCTTCTCTCTGGGTAAGCATGGCTCGTGTTTATGGTCTCCCCTAAAAGTGAATAACAGGGTCCATGTACTGATTTTACAAAGTAGATATCAGGTATTAGTTAACTATTAATTGCCTTTACCACAAAAGAAATTATTAAAAACACAAAAGACTCATAAACAAACTTATAAAACAATAATCTATTACAACTTTTATATTCTGTTGGGAAGTAAAGACAACTTTGTAGTTGGCTGGAATAGATATATTCACTTTGTATCTGTAATCTCCTAGCAACTCACAGTGCCAGATCCATTGATGAGCTAGGCATGACCCTTTAATCCTTTCAGGTCCAGGATGCTGCCAATGATGATCATCTTCTCTGAGAAGTATAGTTCCAGGAAGCTTCTCCCTCAGTGCAGCCAACACTGACTAGAATGCTCCCAACCTCTTGAACTCACTACCAGGGCTGAAAAATTCCATTCTCAGGATTATGTTCAGTGATTGGGGCTTAGGGAAAGAAAGACGACAGCACTTGAGACCCAGTCTCAGGCTCATCTAGGCAAACACATGTTCTTGCTACAATATGTTTGTGTTGTAGCTGCTGTCGCTGTTGAGTGGGAAGAGAAATCTGTTGCTCCCCTCACTGGAAGTTCACTGGATCTGTGTACAAGAGAGCGTAGTCCAAATGAGATAAGAGGTGGAACCTTTCCACAGGTCTTAAAGTCCACTGAAGGAGTAGATTCTTCCTCTATAACTCTCAGTGTGCAATCTTCTTTGACACAGCCTCCGGGGGCTGTGTCATAGGGGCACATGGGAACAAAGCAGGATTATCATACCCTAAGCAAGAGGCCAATATGTCTAGCTATCCCCAAAACTAAAGTGATGAGTTCACTGCTACATAAGGTACAATAGAAAATTTGATCCCCAAAGACCTAGTTCTGTGGCCTAGATCATCAAAAACATGCTGACCCTCATAGAGGAGCAAGCAACTCTGCTGATCTTTTACTACCTTTCTTGCCACACCCTTCACCCTGTTTCTCAGGTCTTTTCTTCAGAGATGAACGTAACTTCCCAAATTTACTTACTTTACTTGTGGTATGGTATGGCCTAAATATATTATGATCCTCATTACTAGCCTTCATCGCTTTCCCTATTTGTGTGTATTTTTAAAAAAATATTAAAATAACACTGAACATCAATGGAAGTAAATAAACTTTCTTAGTGACTATTTAAGACTAAGGGTAATCCCTCTACTTGCCCATTTTATCCCATTCCATTCCACTGCTTGCAGTGTCTTACTCCAGCAGTCACACCATCTTTATCATACATTCTCATTCTTTCCCTTTCCACTGATTTCTTGTCTACAAATATACTCAGTTCTCCCCAACCTTAAAAAAGAATTCTTTCCTTGACCCTTCTAACCCTTCCAGCTTCTGTTTCATCTTTCTCTTCCCCTTCATTGTTAAACTTGTCTTCTTCGGTCATTTTAAAAAGTTTTTGATGGCCTTTCTTTTTATACCACAATCATTTCCTAATTATTTTTAAACTCTCTTAAAACCCTCACTGCTAAACAATTTTTTTAAATTGTCTACAAAGATGGCTTCACTTCCTCATTACCTACTCTGTTCCCAAATCTTTGTAATGTGTCTTCTGCTTCCCAGTGTACTTCTGTTCTGTCTAAGGTCACCAATGACCTCTCAATAACTAAAAGCTGTAAAAGTGGGTGGGAGTTAGACTGAGTCTTATTACTTTGCTAGATAAGCAAAGAAATCAAGATTTGTTAATGCAAGTTACTGTTAATATAGTTTTTAGATAAACCTTAACATTCAATAATTGTGTTACCACACCAGTATTCTTATGAACACTAAACAGTTATAATCCCAGTTCTCTTAGAAAAAGAGAGAAGGAGAATTTTGTAAGTTTCACTGATTTAAATCCTTTTTCTTTCAGAGTTGTGGAAAGTAAGAACTCAGTCTTTCCAGTAGGTAGCATTGTGGTGGCTCACTCTGGATGGACAACCCACTCCATCTCTAATGGAAAAGACCTAGAGACTTTGCTTCCTGGGTGGCCAGACACATTACCCATATCTTTGGCTCTGGGGACCATTGGCATGACAGGGTGAGTCATCTGGATTTGTTTCATTTAATTCAACACAGTAAAATTCCACTGTCCCAGGTTATTAATCTGGGAAAATATGTTTCTCAGAAATGTAAAAATTATCTGAAGGGAAGGGATTTTGTACGTTGCAAAGCAAAAGGAATGAGAGCAAGAGAAAGACTAGGGAAAATAGGCTTATGCTGTTTAGATAGGGCATAAGGGCTTAGGAGAAGTGAGGGGAAAGTAGGGCAAAGAGATAATAGTAGCATGTAACCTCTAGCGCAGGCACAACTGAGAGAATAAGAAAGGGCATGGAAGGTATGGTCAAAGATGCACCTGTTAACTGACTTTGTAGCAGTCATTATTACCTAAGCTTTGATGTGCTTTGTGCCTCAGAGAGATTACAGTGCAACCCAGCACAAAAGATTTTCTCTGGGACATGTCCAACATACAGAAATACAAATATAGAAACATAGAGAAAGCCACATAGGTGACTAGGCTGCCCAGAGTCATATGGCTGTGCCATGAAAAGCCCTCAGTTGGCTCTCTAGCTTTCCCTCTTTCTAATACAATTAGTTCTGCAGCCATTGTATAAAGGCAAATTTAGGAATACCAATTCAGAGGCCCAGACTCACCCTGATTACAAGCATCCTACAGGCAGCCTATGAGTATATGTGGGGGGCGGGGGGGGTAGCTGTTACTTACATTGGGATTGTATTCAATAGTTTGCCATTCTACCTTCCGTGGCTCAATTGCCTAGCCTTCCTAAGTAGCTGTTTCATCTATTTTCTACTTTAAAAAATAAGTAGTGATATCACCATGTCATAAAATTCTCACAAACTATCTTGGATGACATCATTGTACTGAGATAATCCCCATTCACTTCTGCCCCCTAAAATGTTCCCTTCCCCTATAAAACATCCTCAGCAGGATTTCTGGGTACCTTCCCTCCTCTCATACCCACACACTTTGCTGGACTCCCCACATACACACACATACCAGAAAAATACTAGAGGTTAAATTAGGCAGAAGTTATGTCAATCATTGATTGATGTTTTTAATGTGTCAAATTTAGTTGAAATTAGGCATCCCTCTACCTAATGTTAATAAACTGAGAAAAGTGACAAGGTGAAACACAATTACATGATGCAATTATTTCCATAACTAAGATGTTATGAATGGAAAATTGGATACCAAGTAGTCAAATCAGGCTATAAATGCATAAATACAGAGATCTGAGACCATAATGGAGAAAAATGAGGAGTAGGCTAGGCAGAGAAGGCTTGCTTAGACACAATAACAGATGTGATGTAGAAACTGGGAATCCCAATTCATCAGAGGGATCTCTGAGGTTTGTAACTCAAAGATGAGAAGCATGTATAAATTCATGTGAAAGTAAATTATCACAGAAGCTAAATAATAAAAATAATGACTTTTATAGCACTTTAAGGTTTGAGAAGTGCTTTACACATGTTATCTCATTTGATCTACACAACAACCCTGTGAGTAAGGTGCTATTATTATCCCCATCTTACAGAGGAGAAAACTGAGACTTACAGAGGTTAAGTGATTTCCCCAGGATCAGACAGTAGATGTCTGACATGGGATTTAAACTCAGATCCTCAAGTCTACTGATCTATCCAGTGTACCATCCAGCTGCAAAAGGAATCTAGTGAAGTTCTAGAAAGGAAATGAGAAGACAAGCTACCTCTTTCCTCTCCAAGAATCTCTTAAACTCTATTTTAAGATCTACCTAGAAAACACAGAATGACAGTATCTCAGTGTTGGAAAGAATTTCAGAGTTACAAGTAACACATCCAGCCATTGTTTGAAGCCCTCTGGTGAAGGTAACTCCATAGCTCCAAAGAAAACCAATTCTAGTACAAGATACCTCTGGTTATTAGCAAGTCAATCAAATCTAAACCTGCCTCTTTGAAATTTTCATCCTTTGGTCTAATTGGAAGGATAAGGAAGGGGGAATGGAAGGGGAATGGAATAAGTCTAATCCCTTTTCCAGGTGACAGCCCTTCAAAAATACTGGAAGGCCAACATCAGGTACCCCTAACTTTTCTCTTTTTCAGACTAAAGGTCTCCAGTATCTTTTATCAATTCTCATAAGATATGACCTTGTGGCCCCTAACCAATGTCCTTCATAAAATGTGAAACCTAGAAAGTTTTGAATATTGTCTCTCAAAACAAACATTTTAAATGCCCACAGCTGGATTCAATCCATTTCTCCCAGACGAACAGAGCAATGGAAAAATGCTGAGCCCTAGCACAAAACATTGAAGCTGGAGGACAATTGATTAGAGCCTGAACTTGTAGGTTTAGCATACAAATCTCCCTATTCAAGAGCCTGGAAGACCAGAGCAACAAAAGGGATAGCAACTTTGAACTTGTACAAGTCAGGCAAAAAGCTGTTTAAACCTGAAGATTTTTTTTCCTTTTCTCTTTTCCTTTATGTTCCAGAAGTAAATAGGTGGAAAATTGCACTTGAAGCCTCTTTGTTATGAATAGAACTCCAGCTGTTTATGTAAAGACTTTAAAATCTTTTGTGATATTTAAATATCCTAGTGAAAAACAGAGACTGAAACTGAGACCCCAGGATGACTTCTGATCCATTAAAGCATGTTGCAATTGGCACTTCAGTTGTTAAGGACATTAATGTGAAATAACAGATTTGTGTGGAATATGCTTTCATTTCTAAATGGCTTAACAACAGTTTCTAGACACCAGTATTCTAAGACTCAAATGCACAATTGTTTCTAAAAAGAACACCCATCATCTATCCTGGGAATCATAAAGGGGTGCATTAGAGGACATAATGAAAGATTGATAGCACAAGGGAATGCCAAGTAAAGATTGCTTTTTCTATATCTACTTCCCTTTTTTTTTCCCCTTCTCCTCTTCCCCTTCATCCCATCCATCCCATCCCTCAATGAACTAAAGTGAAGAGACTTTTATTGCTTTATTTGATTAGTGAAGTCCACAGATTGCAGTTAACAGGATGTTTGCTTGCCTCTCCTCAGCTTAACAGCCTACTTTGGGCTCCTTCACATCTGTGCTCTGAAGGAGGGAGAAACTGTGATCGTCAATGCAGCCTCAGGAGCAGTGGGCTCAGTGGTAGGACAGATTGCCAAAATCAAAGTAAGTGATGGGATAAGTCACTTTACATGTCAGGGCCTCATTTACCTCATCTATAAAATGAAAGGGTTGGATAATGTGTTCCTTAAGATCTCTTCCAGTTTGGAAATTCGATGACTGTGAAGCTATTATTCCATCACTCATTTCAAATAGAAGAGATCATTTAGCCTGTCAAAATATGAATTGGAGGAGAGGGACCATGAGAAGCAGATCTGAGTCCTTTCAAGACAAATTGTATGCTGTTATTTGAAAAATCATCACACTCAAGTCCAAATCAGAAACAGTATTTCTCTAACACAGAAGTCCTTAGCTTTTTTTGTGTCCTGGCATTGGCAGTCTGGTGAAGCCTGTGGACCCCTTTTCAGAATGCTTTTAAATGACTAAAAATAAAATACATAGGATTTCAAAGGAAACCACTACCTTGCTTCATTTCATTTTTTTTTTAAAGTAAGGGCATATTCAACACTCTAACAGCCTACCAAGGAGATGGTGGCATCTCTATTCTGGGGTTTTGTTGCATAAACAAGCCCAGTAATAAAGTATTGAATAATCTTGAATGATACAGGCCTTGCATTGCCTCCTGGTTGGAGGATTCTATGAATACTTAAAATTTCTAAAGCCATTTTCTTCCAAAGAAATCGAGTTGCTATTTAGAGTGATTTGGAATTCTTCTGGGGCTAGGTAGGATTGAGCAGTAGGCCATCTTTGAGTCTTTTAAAAAGTAAGTAGTTTCTTTTTCTCCTTTTTTCTTTAGGGCTGCAAAGTGGTTGGCTCTGCTGGCTCAGATGAAAAGGTTGCAAACCTTAAAAAACTTGGTTTTGATGTTGCCTTTAACTATAAGACAGTAGAATCCTTAGAAGAAACACTGAAGAAAGCTTCTCCAGATGGCTATGATTGCTACTTTGACAATGTAAGTCCAAATTGTTTTCACCAGAGAGAGTATCACCTTAACCCATCACAACAAAGCACTGTACCTGGGTAGACACTTCATGGATCCTCATATGTGGAAGAAAAGAAAGTTGTAGAAAGGATTGTATGAGGGTTTTACAAAGTCTCATTAAGCTTGTTCCCATGCCCTTGTGTGGGATAAAGGAATGAAGATTTCTCCTGTAATTAATCCAGACACAGCTGTTTATAGAAATTCAAATCCATTCTCAGGGAGCCAGTAGCTTTGATTTGCCTGTGAAGTAAAAATTATTCATAAACTTTATATTTGGGAGAATTTGGGGGGATTCTGCAATTATTTCAGAAAAACTCAGAAGGTAGCCAATTCCTGATGTACTTGAAGAGTCCTTCTATGAGTGAGAAAACTCCAGACTTAGCCCTGCCTCCCTGGTGTGGGAAGTCTCAGTTTCTACTATGGAAGCCTTTCAGCCCCAACCCATGACAGGTTGCATCCACAGGACCACTTAAAGAATTGGACATAAGAATGAATCCTTAAAGAAATTGATTTATTTCTGGGGTATTATATATAGCTATTTCTATCATCTTTTTTTTTTAAGGCAATTGGGGTTAAGTGACTTGCCCAGGGTCACACAGCTAGTTAGTGTCAAGTGTTTGGTCTGAGGCTGAATTTAAACTCAGGTCCTCCTGACTTCAGGGTCAGTGCTCTATCCACTGCGCCACCTAGCTGCCCCTTTTATATAGCTATTTCAGTGAATGCAAATGGATCTCTGCAGTGGAAGTTGTACTTAGTAAGTGCTTAAGACACACGAAAACAAATGAAGTCATGATACACTCATCTCTGTTAACAGAATCACAGAATCTCAAGAGTTGGAAGGTATCTCAGAGGCCATATACTCTAATTTATTCTTCAGAAGGAAACCCCTTTACAACATCCCTGGTCATCCAACCTCCACTCAAAGATCTCTATTGATGATCTCTGTTGATATCTGCTATAACTCAAGGTAGCCCATTCAACTTTTAAGCAGTTCTATTTGACAAGAAGCTCTTCATCACATCAAAGCAAAATCTGCCTCTTTTCAAGGCATTTTTTCCTAGTTCTATCCTCTATAGTCAAACAGAACAAGTCCAGTCCCCTTTTGTTCAGCATTTCAGTTGTGTTCAACTCTTGTGACCCCATTTGGGGTTTTCTTGGCAAAGATACTGGAGTGGTTTGCCATTTCCTTCTCCAGTTCATTTTGTAAATAAAAAAACTGAGGCAAACAGGGTAAAATGACTTGCCCAGGGTCATACAGCTAGTAAGTGTCAGAGGTTGGATTTGAACTCAGGAAGATGAGTCTTCCTGGTTTCAGGCTTGGCGCTCTATCCACTGCACCACCCAGCTGCCCTTATAACTGCCCTTCAAATATCTAAATACAGTTATTGTGCCCCACTTTTACCCTTCAAGTGTTCTCTTCTCTAAGTCAAACATTCCTAGATACTTCAGTAGGTCCTAATATGGTATTATTGTCTCTAGGAACTTAACATCCTGGTCACCTCTTCTGGATACAATTCATCTTCTCAACATCCTTAAAATTTGGTACCCAGAATTTAACACTATATTTCAGATATATTCTGACCAAGGCAAAGTATAACAGTGCTATCAACTCCTTCATTCTAGACATGATGTATACCTATCAATGAAGCCTAAGAAAGAATTGGCTTTTTGTTCTCTCTTTCCATGTCATGCTGTTGATGACTATTGAGCTTGAATTCATTAAAATTCTCAGATTTTTTTCCCTCAAAAATACATTTATCCTCATTAGGTTTCATCTCATTAGATTTGGCCTATCATTCTAACCTATCAAGAATTTCTGAGATCCTGACTCCTCCTGTAAATGTGTTAGCTATGCCTCCTAACTTGTGTTATCAAATCAGTAAATATTCATTAAGTGCCTACTATATGTCAGGCACTATGCTAAACACTGGGGATATAAAGAAAGAAGAAAAAATTCCTGCCTTTAAGGTGCTTACAATCTAACGGGGAAGACAACATGCAAATAACACCATGCAAACAAGATATATGCAGGATCAATTATGGGAAAGTCTTTTTACAGAAGGCAGGACTTTAACTGAGACCTGAAGGAAGAGACAAAGGAGGAGAAGATTCCAAGCTAAAAAGTTCATAAGCATGAAACATATGTTTTCATCCATTTCACTGACAAGCGCAAGGTCAAGGATAGTTCCCTGAGGAACACTAGAGACCTCTCTCTTGATGTCTCATTAACAACTACTCTTTAGGTACAATCATTCAACTATATCCAAGTCTATCTAAAGCTATTGTAATCTAACAGTCATCCCTTCACCTTGTCAACAAGTATAATATGAAAAAACTTATCAAGTGCTTTGCTGAAAGAAATACAGATATACCATGTCTTTGTTGATCTATCAATCAAATTACCATGTAAGAGGTATATGATGTTAGTTTAGCATATTCTTAATGAAGTTCTGTATGCTTCCCTTCTACATGCATTTAAATCATTCTTTTAACAATGCATAACATGCCTTCTAAAATTTTGCTAGGAATCAAATTTAAACTCACTGGTCTACAGTTTGGAGAAGCTAGGCTAGTTCCCTTTTAAAAGAAGAACATCTGTTCATCTCTGTTCTCTGGCTTATTTGAGGAAAGAAATGTTTCTAGACAAAGTAGAAGAAACATCCCATCAAGGAAGCCAGAAAAAATTAATCCTGAGGTGATGGAGATAAATCAGTATTAAGAGGAAGATGAATAAAAGCACTTGATGAACAAGCAAAGAAAAACAAACAAAGAAACTCTGAATTATTCTATGCATTCTAAGGTTGAATCCCCAGAGGGCAGATGCTACTCCCTGGTTCTAAAGGTTCCTTGCCTTTCCTATTTATGTATGACCTTCAAAAGAGAGAGGTCATATGATAGAGTGCTGGCCTTTGAGCTAGAAAGCCCTGGGTTCAAGTCTTATCTCTGACACACACTGGCTGTCTGATTCTAGACAAGTCACTTAACCTCCAAAGTTTTAGGCTACTGCTAAAATTATAACTTGCAAAGAAGGTGCCAACTTGACTTAACAGAGGAAATTCCCTTATCTGGAAGTTCTCTATAACAATTAAATCTTAGGTCTAGTCCCTATCCCTAACCCAATAACCTTGGGTAAATCACCAAATCTCTAAAATGAGGAGGCTTGACTAAATGATCTCAAAAGTCTCTTCCAGCTCTAAATTCTATGAGCCTATGAAGTCCAGAATATATTAAACATGTAAATTAAGAGCTGATGAATCACTTGGTCAAAATAATCCACCAAAATGTTCTGTTAAAACCAGGCAGTGCTGTTACATTTTCACAACTACAGAGTTTGATCCAAAAAATTAATTTCACTTAAAGAAATCTGATTTAGAGGCAGCTAGGTGGCACAATGCATAGAGCACTGGCCCTCGAGTCAGGAGGACCTGAATTCAAATCTAGCCTCAGACACTTACTAGCTGTGTGACCTTGGGTAAGTCACTTAGCCCCTATTGCCTCCAAAAAGAAATCTGATTTATACATATCCTTTTGGGAATAAACTTATTGCATGAATCAAATTACCCATAAAAAAATTGGTTTTCTGTGTGCAGCACCCACTCTGGGATATTCTTCCAATTTGAGTTCCTATTCCAAGGTCTACCCCTCAGAGGGCAGTTGCTACTCCTATATTCTAAAGCGCCCTCTGGGTCTGAACTTCTGCCACTATAGCTTATGAACTCCCACTGGTGTACTTCCCATTGTGCCAGTATACACAATTAGCTCTTAACAAAAGTATTTAATAAGATGGCATAGCAAAAACATTAGGTGAAAAACATTCCCCCAATAAGCCTGGATCATACTCTCACAGAAAACCATGTATCCGAGTGAGGATTCTGGAAGATGATGGCATAGGTCAGAAAATTCCAAGCTCTCCAGATTTCCCCCACAGACAAGACAAAATAGTGCTTCAGGGTGAACATAGAATGGTAAAAATAAACAAGAGTTGGAGCAGAACAGTAGTCCTCCTGGGACAACCAGGAGAAGACTGGAGGAAAAATCCTAGGACCATGGTTTGGTGAAGTGCAAACACCTCCAGGCTCATTCTGTTGAAACAGCAAGTGGTGAGCCCTGGGGCAAGCTGGGTTAGAAGGTAGTCTCAGCTCCACCCATAGAAATTTTTACCTCCTGAACAGTGTGAGGAGTCAGGTATCTGAGCGGGGGAAGATTGAGGGAACCTTTGCTGATAAAGGATGTCAGACCCAGATGTGCTGCCCAGACATGGCCCTGGATTAGAAGGAACCAGCATACCCCTGGTGAGTGTAAAAGAAAGGGGTGGGGACACTGCTGGCTGTGGGCACTTACGGGAGAGCAGAGTTTTTGGTTTTGGTTCCAGGCCAGAGGGGAGAACTGAAGGAATGTCTGAGGCCAGAGACACCATCCCCCATACCCCAGGAATAGAGGTGATTACAACAATAAGCTGCTATAAATAAAAAAAAAAATGAGCAGGCAAAGGAGAAAGAACTCAACTACATAAAGTTACTATGGGAATAAAGAAGACTGGGGTTCATCTTCAGAGGAGAATACTGAAGCAAAATAAGCAAAGAGTAATGTCAAATGGTCACCTACCCAGAAAGAATTCATAGAACTTTTAAAAGACTTTAAAAATCAAATGAGAGAGATTGAGGGAAATTTTTTTTAAAATAAGAACAATCCAAGAAAAACAAGGAGATTATGAAAAGAAAGTAAACCAACTGGAAAAGGATATCCAGAATCTTAAGGAAGAAAATGACTCCTTGAAAATTAGAAGTGGACAAGGGAAGCCAGAAAAGTTATAAGACACCAAGAAAAAATAAAACAAAATATAAAGAATGAAAAAATAGAAGAGAATGTGAAACATTTCATAAGAAAAACAACTGATCTGGAGAACAGATCAAGAAGAAAAAACATAAGAATAATCAGACTACCTGAAAGCTATGATCAAAAAAAGAATCTTGATATAATAATACAAGAAATAATTAAAGAAAATTGTCCTGAAACCTTAGAATAAGAGGGGAAAGTAGAAATAGAAAAAATTCACCAATCACCTCCTAAAAAAAGATCCTATGAGGAAAACCTACAGAAATATCATAGTCAAATTCTGACACCCCCAGCTCAAGGAGAAAATATTTTGAGCAACAAGAAAAAAAAAAAAAACAATTTAAATATGGCAGAGCCACAGTTAGAATCACACAAGACCTAGCAGCAGTGACCCTTAAAGACCATGGGTCTTGGAACACTATATATTAAAGAGCAAAAGAACATGGTTTGTGGCTGAAAATATCATACCCAGCAAAGTTAAGCATAATCCTGAATGAAAAAAATGAACATTCAATGAATTGCCAGACTTTCAGAATTTGGTTGCAAAAAAAAAACCTGAACTTAATAGAAGATTTGACAGACAAGATCTAAGAGAAATATAAGGTATACATCAAAGACTAATCACAAGGGACTCACTAAGGATAGACTGTTTACTTTTTATATGAGAAAATGAAAACATATGTCTAAGATTTTTATTAGTAATTGGGTAATTTTAAATTTAGAAAGGAATAAAAGTCTTCTAAAGTTAGAAATAAGAGGGTGAGGGAATAGGATAAAGGGGGATAAAATTATCCTAGATTATTATCCTACAATTATCCTAGATTAACAGGAATGGAATATATACATATGTATATATTTGGAAGGCTATAAAAGGCTTCTAAATTCAGATAGAAACAAGACAGTAAGGGGAAAGTATGGGGGTGGGGAATGGATAAGGGAGCAATCCTTGGTGGGGGTAGGTTAAGTAATAGGAGGGCAAGGTAGCATGTAGAAGTAAAGTAGAAGAATGAGGAGGGATAGGAAATAAGAGATACAAACATAAAATAAAGATCAGGAGTAGAATTTATTAGGAAAAAGAGCAGTGATAGTAACCATGATCTCAGACAAAGTTAGAGATAAAATAGACTTAATCAAAAGAGAAAAATAGGGAAACTACACTATGTCAGCCATATTAATCAATATTGCTTTAGACTATTTAAAATAACTAGTCAGTATAAGGTTGGAATATTGCTGTGCTGTAGGAAATGATGAGTTGGTGGACTTAGAAAAATATGGAAAGACTTGCACTTATGAAGAAAGATGTGTGATATCCACCTTCAGAGAAACTAAAGATAAACAAGTATAGTACGGTCTTACATTGATATGTATGAATGTATACGTCTATGTATGAGTATGATTATAGATATCTAAGTATATGTATGTATATGTAAGTATATGTGTGTATGTGCATATGTGTGTATATATATGTTTATGTGTATGTGTATGTATGTGTATATATGTGTGTATGTATGTGTGTGTATACACACACATACACACACACACTTAATTGTAGCCTTGGAGGGAGGAGGGGAAAAAAGAACAAAGTACACAGCACAGAACAAAAGAAAACTTACAAGGAAACAAAGAAAAGATGGTCAGCTCTGAACACATGTGTAGTATTTATTACATAAGCTTTCTTGAAATGGAAATTTATTGCTATTTATTTTGAATCCTCTCTTACATTCTGCTGTGCACATAGTAATGCTTTTTTTTCTTTTCTTATTTTGTATTTAAGTTTTAGTATTTAAGTTTATAATGTTTCTTTTTCTTTTCTTATTGTGCATTTCAGTTTTGGTATCTAAGTTTAAAATAAATTAATTTTAAAAATAAAAAAACACATATCATTTGTGGGAGGAGTAGGCATAAACTTTGAATATGCTGGAGGTGAGGAATATGTGAAGGGAACATGTGTCTGAGCTGACTCACAACTCCAGAACTTCAGGGTCTTGGTGTCCCTTCTATCCCAGTGGAGTCCTTATTATCAGGAGTTAACCCCCAATCAAAACATATGAGCTAGGAGTGTTACTCAGCTGGGTTCCCAGAGTTTGCTCCTCTCTAGATTGCTGGCACTACTGCTCTTGAGTTCATAACCAGCCAGGAGTCAGACTCCTTGACACTACTTCCTCCCCTGTGTGATTGCCTTGCCATATCCATGTCTGTTCAGAGGGAGTGTTTTTGTTCCTATAGGCATATGCCAAACTCTGTAGATCTGACTCTATAGTTGGTAAATGGGGTGTTTCTTCTGACAGAGTAGCCTTGCTGCTATGGTCATGGAGAAAGAGAGAGACATCTCTTCCCTGAAGTAGAGGTCTCTTTCACAGGAAGCTTTCATCCTGCATTCACCTAAACTACTGAACTCATCTAGAACTTAACTGCTTAACTACTGAAAGCCCCTCAAATGAGTGTTTAATACTAACTTATCGAAGAAGAATATTCACACTTCATATAGGGATCATAGAGTATTAATACCTTATTAAACACATTAAATAAATCTTACCATCTGTGACCATTTCCCACAATTACATCAACTGGGTTGGTTGGTTGTTCTCATTCTCAAAGAGGACCAAAATGACATTACCATGTTAGAGTCAAATTATAGTGTGTCCTACTATGGCTGATCAGACCAGTACAAGCTCTGAATGTTCTACTGTAGGTAGGGCACAAATTTGTGAACATTTGGAGTGGATTCTCTAAATTTATGCATTTCAAGTTTCTTTTGAGCTATTTCAATTCTGCTTTGCTCATAGAGCATATCACCTTCTCTGATGAGGGCATCCCATGCTGGGCAGTCCTGTACCAGTGTCTCCTATATCACACAATTCCAAAGTTCTTAAGAGAGATCTTGAGAGTGTCCTTGTATCACTTCTTCTGACCACTATGTGAGTACTTACCCTGTGTGAGTTCTCCATAAAATAATCTTTTTGGCAAACGTACGTTTGGCATCCAAACAACATGGCCGGCCCATAGGAGTTGCGTTCTCTGCAGTAGAGTCTGAATGCTTGGCAGTTTAGTTTGAGAAAGGACCTCAGTGTCTGTTATCTTATCCTGCTAGGTGATCTTCAGAATCTTCCTAAGACAATTCAAATGAAAGTGATTCAGTTTTCTGGCACAGAGTTGGTATAATGTCCAGGTTTCACAAGCATACAATGAGGTCAGCACAACTGCATAGACCTTCAGTTTGGTAATAGGGTGTGTTCAAAGAAGATGAGCACCTCTGGTTTGAGGGCTGCAGAGCCCGTTTCAGAGCTGCTTTCCAACTTTGGTGTCCACCTGATTCACTTAACTCTCACCTATGGCTCCAAGAAGCTGTAGCATGGATAGCAGCCATCCCCTGGTAAACCATTTTTGCAGACAGGAAAAATCAACTGGGAGGAGGGTTAAGACTAAATGTCCTTTCCATTACACATATATCATAGATAATTCACAAATCTTATGAATGAGTCTTTGAATATAACACTCTGGTCATGGAATTCTAGAGCTACCCACAGATGGCATGCTTAAAATGTTCTCATAGTTAAATGGCTAGAAGAGGAAAGGCAAACTACTGTTCTATTCTTCTACTATTTTATTAAGTCAATAACTACTTGGGAATCTCAGTGACCATAACACAGGAGTTACACTAATACTTGTGAATATTGACCTTTACTCTCATTTTGTCTTTGATGGTTTAGGTAGGTGGAACATTTACAAATGCAGTTATCCCCCAGATGAAGAAATTTGGAAAAATTGCTATATGTGGAGCCATTTCCACATACAACAGTGAAGACCCCCAAGGTAAGGTAATAATGTACAGTCACAGATGTGGGTTGAATAAGTAAAAATGCATGAACATGATAATATGCCTATACCTTTGCATATTGATAATTGTGTTATAGGAAATACTCCGTTTTAAAATAAGCTTCTCTTTTGGTATAAACAGGAAGCTATGTTTAACCACATCCTTTATCCCAGTTCTTGTGTAAAGGAGAGTCCAAAAAAAAAAAAAGACAATCTAGCCTTTCTCAGACTTCTGAGGTCAAAAACAGACTAACAAATTAGAAAGTATCTGACTGATCCTCTGAAATATAACAAAATGTCCCCGAGGCCAGTTACTTACCAACTTACACCCAAGATGAACGTGTCAGCTGTATACTATAAGTATCTGTGGAAAATAGTTTGCATTGAAAAGCTATTTGCCTTATTAGGATGAACCTTCCTAGTGGGCTAATTGATCTTTCTCTTTGCTTTGGGTTGTCACTATAGATAAAATAAATTCTAAATTGTAAACAGTTTTATTGCCATGACAGTTTAATCCATATCAGCATTTCCCCAAAACACCATCCTATCTGATTGTTCCATTCACCTCTTCATTTCTGACTGTGGTCAACAAGCCTCTGGCTTCCTCCCTTCCCTTCTTCTACCACCAATTTCTAATTTCTCTTTTGAATGGAGTATGGGGAAAACAATATAGAATAAGCAAAGTCTCATTCTCTTCTTTGATGTTTCTCTTACCTTTGAAAGGTCCCTTTCAATTTAATTTAATGGCTATTTTAGGTACAACTCTGGCCACTTGGCATATTGTGACCTCTTTTCCACCTAAAGAGTAGTAATGCCTCTCTCAGTGAACCTGGAGCAGTCCTAAGGGGATTGAATCAAGGGGAGTTGTGGCAGTTTCTAGACTTCTCAACCCACAAATACCAAAGACAACTTAGAAGGTCAGGACGAAAGGTCTGTCAGACCTTGGTGAGAGAGGAGCTCGGTCTGGCCCCAGTACTGGCATAGCCCCAGGGTGGCAGCTATTTCAGGAGCTCTTGGCCTATAGACAGAGGGGGAATCTAATGGCTGATCAGAGGGGGATTGCAGAGATCTCTTTGCTGGTGCTAAGGCAGGATTCTCTTGCTTTACCTGTACTTGGATCTGGGTCGCATTTCAGAATGGCAGTCCTGGGACAAGGAGGAATGCTGGCGTGGTGAAGCTTGTGGTGGCGGTAGAGGGGGAATCCTTCTCACAGTTCCAAGGCAGAAAAGAGTGCTTACGATCACTCATAGACCAGAGCACAGGCGAGGAAAGGAATAAACACCTCCCCCTTGATCGTACCACCTTGGAAGAACTGAAAATTTACAGGTCCTAGAAGTATCTCTGAAAACAGTTGCACAAAACCCCCAAAGCTTGGGATAGTACATTCTCCACACTGAAAGCAGACCCCTACCTTAACAAAGAGTTTAAAACTCAAGTAATTGGTTGGGAACATGAACAAACAGCACCAAAAAAATCAGACCATAGAATCTTACTTTGATGACAAAGAAGATCAAAACATACAACCAGAAGAAGACAACAAAGTCAAAGCTCCTACATCCAAAGCTTCCAAGAAAAATATGAATCAGTCCCACACCATGGAAGAGCTCAAAAAGGATTTTGAAAAGCAAGTAAAAGAAGTAGAGGAAAAACTGTGAAGAGAAATGAGATTGATACAAGAAAATCATGAAAAAGAAGTCAACAGCTTGCTAAAGGAGACCCCAAAAATACTGAAGAAAATAACACCTTAAAAATGGACTAACCCAAATGGCAAAAGAGGTCCAAAAAGCCAATGAGGAGAAGAATGCCTTAAAAAACAGAATTGGCCAAATGGAAAAGGAAGTCCAAAAGCTCACTGAAGAAAATACTTCCTTAAAAATTAGAATGGAGCAAATGGAAGCTAGTGACTTTATAAGAAATCAAGAAATTGTAAAACAAAACCAAAAGAATGAAAAAAATAGAAGGCAATGTGAAATATCTCATTGGAAAAACAACTGACCTGGAAAATAGATCCAGGAGAGATCATTTAAAAATTATTGGACTACCTGAAAGCCATGATCAAAAAGATAGCCTAGATATCATTTTTCAAGAAATTATCAAGGAAAACCGCCCTGATAATCTAGAACCAGAGGGAAAAACAGAAATGGAAAGAATCCACTAATCACCTCCTAAAATAGATCCCCAAAGGAGAGAATATTACAGCCAAATTCGAGAGTTTCCAGGTCAAGGAGAAAATATTGCAAGCACTCAGAAAGAATCATTTCAAATATTGTGGAAACACAATTTCAGGCTTCTACATTAAGGGACTAGAGGGCTTGGAATATAATATTATGGAGGTCAAAAGAGATAGGACTACAACCAAGAATCACCTACCCAGCAAAACTGAGTATAATCCTTTAGGGGGGAAAATTGATATTTAGTGAAATAGAGGATTTTCAAGCATTCTTTCTGAAAAGACCAGAGCTGAATAGAAAATTTAACTTTCAAATACAAGACTCAAGAGAAGCATGAGAAAGTAAACAGGAAAGAGAAATCATAAGGGACTTATTAAAGTTGAACTGTTTACATTCCTGCATGGAAAGATGATATTTGTAACTCATGAGACCTTTGTCAGTAGTAGGGTAGTTGGAGGGAAAAAAATTACATAGATAGATAGATAGATAGATAGATAGATAGATAGATAAAGGGCACAGGGTGAGTTGAAGATGAAGGGGTGATCTCTAAAAATAAAATTATGGGGTGAGAGAGGATTATACTGGGAGAAGGAGAAAGGGAGAGGTAGAATGGGGTAAATTATCTCACATAGACAAGAAAAAGCTTTTACAGTGGAGGGGAAGTGGGGGAAGGTGAGAGGGAATGAGTGAATCTTATTCTCGTGGGATTTGACTTAAGGAGGGAATAACATACACACTCTATTGGATATGGAAATCTATCTTACCCTATAGGAAAATGGAGGGAAGGGGATAAGGGGGGGTGGAGATGATAGAAGGGAGGGCAGATTGGGGGAGGGGGTAATCAGAAGCAAACACTTCTGAGGAGGGACAGGGTTAAAAGAGAGAATAGAATGAACGGGGCGGGGGCGGGATAAGATGAAAAAAAAAAAAAAAGAATAGTAATGCCTCCTTTCCAAAATATGGGATGACTTGCTAAGAGTCTTCAAGTATATGAAAAGGCTTTATTTGCCCAGAGGGTAGTAATCAGTTGTTTTTCATTTCTACTGAAGATAGAATGAAATGGGACCAATTGAAGCAGAAGCAAATCAATTTAGGTAAAAGAAAGAATTCTCTAAAAACTAGATAGCAGAGGTAAGACTAGAAGTAAAGGTAGGAAGTTACCTAGAACGCAATGTGCTAGAAGTGGGGTAGAGGGAAAAAGATACTAGAAGGCACAAGGAGGAGCACTTCTCAATATACTTTTTATAAATGCACGTTTTTAATGTCAGAAAATTCGGCTATCCTGGTTATTTTGTTAAGAAAGTGCCAAGCCCTGTGTCACAATAAGAAAGGCATTTGATGGGCCCACAGGCGACACAATTTTCAAACTTTCCCTAGAGTACATAGTCCTAGCTATGGTGATAGGGGCAGAGACTGGGCCTGTGATTTCATAAGTATAGGGAACTTTCAGGTGAGGAACTCCTTTGGCCAATGTAGATTAGCACTTTCTCTGAAACTTATAGTCAAGAGAGTTGCCTGGATTACTAAGAGTTTAAGTGTTGCCCAGAGTCATCCAGCCAATCTGTGTAAGAGGTGGAACTGGAACCCAGGTTTTCTTGGCAAGGTGGGCTCTCTGTCCACTGCTACAAGCTGCCCCTAAGCTATGGTACAAGGGGCCAAAGAGTGTAGCTAGCAAGTGACTCAGGTGGCTTGTTCAATTTCTCCTCTCAGAGTTATTTCAGGCCCTCTACAATTTGTTTCTACCTTTTCAGGATTATTTCATACTATTCTCCTTTGCAAACTCTACATTCTAGACCAACTGGACTACTAACTTGTCCTTCAACTCAATACTCCATCTCCTATCTTCATGCATTCACACAAATTCAGAAAGTACTCCTTTATCATCTCTGCCTCTCAAAGAAAGAGCAGATAAATAGAAGTATGTATGGAATGATTTTACATATATATGTTTAAAAATATACATATATATACATATTTGTGTCTAATGGTAGCCATCTCTAGGGTGGGAATGGGAGAGGAGGGAAGAAAAAAAGGAAAAAAGATAACTTATTATATATTTAAAAGGAATAGCAAGTTGTATATAATAGATTTGCAGTTTCATGTGCAATCATCTTTTTTTATTATACTATGTTATAGGAATACTTGTTTTATTCCATAAATTAAAAATTAAAAAATTTAATACCTTTGTTTTTAAAACCCCTTGTAAAGCCATCCCTGATTCCCCAAGATATTAGGGCTCTTTCTCCCTCTATTTTCCTCATACTATACTTATTTGTAAACATGTTGTATTTCCTCTCCCCCTACCCAATAGAATATAAGCTCCTCGAAGTCAGGGACTGCTTCCATTTTGTCATCATATCAATCAGCAAGCATATAATAAGAAAATCCTATGTGCTAGACACTGGTACAACATCCTGGTGCAACATAAAGACAAAAATAAAAACAGTCCCTCCCCTCAAGGATCTTATAAGCTTATAAGGAAGGCAACAAAAAGCTAAGTATACAAAATTAAACACAAGGTAATTTAGGGGAGGAGGAGGCACTAGTAGTTAGAAGCTCAAGGAGATTAAGTCAGGGCTCCTGTAGAAAGTGATACTTGAGTAGAGCTTTGAAGGAAATTAGGGATTCTGAGAGGTTGGGCTGAGGAGGGAGTGCATTCGCAAGCATGGGAGATAGGCTATGCATAGGTCTGAGAAAGGAGACAGTGTCATATAAGAATAGCAAGAAGGCCAGATTATTATTGGGACTGAAGATTCAGTGAAGGAGAGCAATAATAGTTCTATTTATAAGGCTGGAGAAGTAAGCTGGAGCCAAGTTGTGAAGGGTTTTAAATCCCAAATAGAAGAGTTTGTTTGGGTTTTTTATCCTAGAGGTAATAGGGAGCCCCTGGAGTTTATTGAGTGACATGGCTAAACCAATATTTTAGAAATATCACTTTGGCAGCTGGAAGAAGGATGCATTGGAAAGAGGGAAACATAAGGCAGGGAGACCAATTACAGAAGGCTAGACAAGAGATAACAAGGAGATGAACCAGGATGGCTATGTAAATAGAAAGAATATTTTAAAAAGAAAGAAACAAAGTTCAAGGGATGTTGTGGGGGTAGATCTGATAAGATTTGGCAACTAAATGGATATGTGGACAGTGAGGAGCCAAGGATGACTCTGAGATTGTGAACCTGAGCAATTAAAAGGATGGTGGTGACTTTGACAGAAATAGGGAAGTGCGGCAGAGGGGTTAGTTTTGGGAGGCAGAAATAACAAGTTCTGTTTTGGACATTTCCCTAAGTGTTTAATAAATGTTTATTGATTTGGATTGAATTATAATAACCTAGAGAACCACTTGCCTGAGATGCTTTGTACTAATGATCAGACAATCTCAAGAGGTCTCTTTCAGTGGTCTGGCTTTATGCTACAGTGCAAGTCAGCCACTGACAACCCAAATAAGAAACAACCACATTCCTGCAGCAAGCAAGAAACTTATCCGCCCCACTTAACCTTTATTTGGGCTCTTTGTGCAGCTGGGCAACAATTTTCCTAGAAGTAATTAGAAGATAATGATATTGATCTTTTAAAAAATTGTAATTAATATGCTTTAACAATGCCGTTTGTCTTTATCTCATAGTAATTTCTGAGTAAGGGAAAGAATGCTGGCCCTGGAGTCAAGATGACCTGAGTTCAAATCCAGACTCAGACATTTACTATCTGTGTGACTCCGGGCAAGTCATTTAACCTGTTTGCCTGTTTCCTCAACTGTAAAATGGGGATGATAATAGTACCAACCTCACATGGTTGTCGTGAGGATCAAATGATTGTAATATTTTGAAGTGCTTATCACAGTGCCTGGCACATAGTAAGCATTATATAAATGGTTCTCCCTTTCCCTACCTACTCCAGCTTATACCATCCATTATACCAAAGAAAAACTATTAAGGAACATTCTTCCCAGTAGGGTAACTGAATCTGAGAATGCATATAACATTCTGCCCTCGTAGTCCTCTGCTTCTGATATAAAAAGAGAAGTATATTTCCTTAACTGTTCTCTAGGACCATCCCCAGTTTTTCACTTATTAAAAATTTAGCTTACTTTTAATGATCTTTTTATTTACATTGCTGCAGTTATTGTTTATTCTTTTGGTTCTGCTCAATTCACTCTGTGCCAGTTCATTGAAAGCTTCCCATGTTTTCCTGAATTCCTCATATCTGTCATTTCTTGCCACGTGATACTACACTACATTCATATACCATATCATATTTTTAACTATTCCCCAGTTGGTGGGCACCCACTGGGTTTCCAAAGAGTACTACTATTAATATTTTGGTATTCTTTGGACTTCTGTTTCTGTCTTTGACTTCCTGAGTTTACAAGCTCAGTAATAAGATTGCTGGGCCAAAGCACATGGACAATTTAGGATGAAACTGATATTTGCTGGATATTTGTTTTTCCTAACCTTTTTCTTTTCCTGTGTGCTTATAAAGCCTCATCATTAATCATATAAATATGCCATGTGCTCTTCCTTACAGGAATCTATTTCCAGCTTCCCTTTATCTATAATGAGCTACGTATGGAAGGATTTCTTGTCTATCGCTGGAAAGGAGACATCCGCCAGAAAGCTCTAAACGACTTGTTGAAATGGGTCTTAGAGGTAAGATAGTACAACTGAGATACCTCTATTCTGGAAGTTAATGCTGAAATTTTCTATCACAACTGCTTCCATAGATATATTTCTTTTATACACAGTCTAAGAATTACATGAACTTGGAATCTTTAAGCTTTTGCAATGGTGTATCTTGGCAGACTGTAACAAATAATTCATTCTCTCATAAGTCCTTTGAAAACAGAAATAAAAAAAATTTTATCTTACAAGTTAAAACTTCCAATTTACTTCAAAATGCCTCATCGTGATATGGAGATAACTCTGATTATGTCTGTGAAGTGCAAGTTCTGTCAGGCTTTTTTGGCAGAGGACTGACTGTGAGTACCATCCAAGCTAAATTCAGTATCTGCTCTGCAAGGAATAGCATAGGTAAACACAGTAAATCATTAACTAAAAGCTGGCCACCAGATGATGGTTTGGCAATGACAAGCAAAGAAAATTACAAAGTGGGTCTTAGTCCTAGGTATTCCCTTTCAACTTCTTCAATAATTCTGAAGTAGAGTAAAAGGAAAAGGAGTAGAAGTTTCTAAGAATTACATAGTTTTTAAACTATAAATATTAATTTAATCAACTAATTAATTTAGTCAACTTAATCTAACTGTTGATGTGAAATCCTTGTCGAGTGATCAAATGCACATAACACTGGAGAAAATAAATCATCATATGAACATTAATGTTCTTATTAAAAATAAAACCAGGAGACAAATGGAAATAGTAAAGAGAAAGATGGCTCATAGGTCCTTCTTGGAAAGACAATTACAGGAACTAGTAGAGTATGCATTCAAAGGCTACAAGAAACATTTTAAGGGATGCTGTGGTCATCATACTGAAGTGCACAAGATGAGCATTTCTAAAAGACCAACATAAGGATAATTGTGGCTTGTGTGCCAGCTTCTGTTGCAAAGGATATGAAAACAGAGGATGTGAAGAACTTGACAGGAGCATTCAAATTATATCAATATGTACTTTAACACTTGATGATGTCAAAGCAAAGGAGGGCACTGGAGAAAATGATGAAACATAGACTGGAAAATATTGCTCAGAGATATTTGATGAAAGAGATGAAAGGCTTACAGACTACACAGATGAATCACACCAATATGTTCAAAACACTTTCTTAAAGAAATGTTCTTAAAGAAGAAAGTTATAAGGCAATGGACATGGTGAACATAGAATTACATCACAAAAGAAGTGAAATGTATTATATCTTGACTCATTCAGGAGACATTTCCAAATTGACTGCTTGTGTAGAGTCGGATCATTGACTTGTTAAAGCAAAATAAAAAATCGATACTAAATTAGAATAAGAGAAGGAGGCATATTTGAGAGAACTTGCAAAGGTGAAATTGACAGGCCTTAACAACAGATTATACATGGGGGTAAAAGTGAAGAGGGAATATATTCACGGCATGTCTCATAGCTTTGTATGCTCCATGATGCCATGCACAGTGGGATTTTAAGAAATATTTATTGATTTAATTGGGTTATTGTTCAGTCATTTCAGTCATATCTGACTCTTCATGACCTGATTTGGGGTTTTCTTGGCAAAGATACTGGAGTGGTTTGCCATTTCCTTCTCCAGCTAATTCATAGGCAAACAAGGTTAAATGACTTGCCTGGTCAAACAACTAATAAGTGTCTGAGGCTGGATTTGAACTCAGGTATTCCTGACTCCAGACCTGGCACTCTATCCACTGCACACCTAGCTGCCCTTATTAACTGGGACATGGTTGTAATTTGGAGTTGGTTTATTCCCTTTGAAAAGGAATTTATAATTTTCATATTAATCGATATGATATGTGTAATGAATACACTAATATAGTTTTCTCAAGAGCTGCCTCCCTGGCTCAAGAGTCAGAGTTCACAATGCAGCTTAAACTAATTAATCAAAACTCTGACAATGCTTGCAATCACTGGACCTTAAGTAAAGTGAATCAAAGATTGTAGAACTTATTCCCATCACAGAACTCATTCTGTACTCCAGGGCAGGTGGTCACAACCCCCAAAGACTTGACTCCAGAATTTTTGTATTATGGGACTTGTGGGTTTCTCATAGAAAACAACTGTCTGTTTGTAATCCACCTTCCTCCCTCTTTCCCACCTTGTGATTTAAGTATATAATCTGGGTTTCACTTCAGCAAAGAGAACATTCCTCACTCTAAAACTGATTAAACTACTTGATTAATGACTGATTCAACTATCTGATTACTGGTACCCCCTGCTTTATGTGACTCTGAGCACTCTCAGGCTAGAGACCGGCTCAGTAAAAATCCTGTTAACATCTCTTATTTTGTTTGTTCACTCTTCCCACAGGGCAAAATCCAGTACCAAGAATACATCACTGAAGGTTTTGAAAATATGCCAAAGGCATTCATAGGAATGTTAAAAGGAGAGAATTTGGGGAAAACATTAGTGAAAGTATGAGGGACCCAAGAGTATATCACACAGGAAATCTGGAGAACATATTAGTGTGTTTATTTCAAGTTTCCTAAAATCTTGTGGAAATACGTGCCTATTGTCTTAAAGTACTAAGAAACACCAACTGTAATTAATTCTGTGTTTAGCCTACTTAATAAAATGTATTAAAATTTTGTTCTATGAAAATAACAAGAAATGAAAATCCTTTAGGCAATGAACAACCACCAATCCCTATCTCCCAACTACAGCCCTCTTCGTGACAGTTTAACTGCAAGATATAAGATTATAATAATAACAGCTCATATTTAACAGCATTTTGTAATTTCCAAAGGCCCTTTGCTCACTCACCTATAAGGCAGACAGTGGAAATTTATTTCTATCCATTTTACAGATAAGGAAACTGATACTTAGAGAAAGTTTTAAATGAGAACGCATAGATCATGGCAGAACTGAAACTTAAATTCAAGTTACTAGGGATTGATTACCCTGATGAAAAAGACTTCCATAAAAACTTAATTAAAAAACAAAGTTCAAAGCTTGAACAGGAAAAGCTGATTGTTAAATTTTTAGTGTCAATATTTATACCTTGGAAACACTACCAATCAGGTCTTGATTTATTGTTTCATTGATTGCGTAGACTTAAGAAAGTCATGGAGAAAATGTTTAATAAAGTTGACTAAACTTAAAGATGTGTCTTGATTACATTTCTTTTTCCCCCCCAGAGGGCTAGTTGTTAAATATTTACTAGCATACCACTGAAACAGTCACACCCTAAACCTCACCATCACCCAAAATTGCTCCAAGATCTTTGTCTTTTTCTTTTCTTTTTTAAAAAGGTTTTATTGATGTGTTTTATTTTTACCTTACTAACATTAACAAGTTACATTTCCCTCCCAAACCTCCCACAGCCAAGAAAATCTCTCATAACAAAACAGTTAAGTAAAATATACAGTGGCCTCATTTGAAAGTACATGCAACATTTCACATCTGTAGCACCACATAGCTCCAATTCTTCTGTTTTAAAAAATTAATAGAAATCTATTTTCTCTTCTTTCTACTTTCTACTTCACTGGAGAAAAAAGAGAAAAAATTCTTATAACAAACATACATAGTCATGGAAGTAAAACAAGCTCTGTCAATTACTATATCCAAAACAGATATGTCTCATTTTGTCTTCTAAATACATCACCTCTCTGTAATGGATAGCACGTTTCATTATCAATCATCTGGAAACATGAATGATCATTATATTGATCATAGTTCTTACAGCTTCAAAGTTCTTCTTAAAGTATTGTTGTTATATAAATTATTAAAAATTGCTGTTTTCCCCAGAAACTGTCAGTCCTTCAAGGGCAATGTTTTTTCATTTTTGTCTCTATATCCCCAGCACCAGCACCATGTCTAGTACATAGTAGGTACTTATTAAATGTTTAGTAAGTACCTATCATGTTCAAGATACTTAAGGAGACATTTCTTCAACTATAAAATGAGGATAATACCAGTAGTACCTTCACAGGATTGCTATGATGCCAAAAGAGATAATGTATATAAAAGTTTTATTTACCTAAAAACACAATATAAATATGAATTCTAATTCCTATACTTAAAGAGTTGACAATTAAGTAATTATCTCTTACTTATTTTGCTACTAACTAGATTTTTTGTTTCTATATGTAAATTAGACTTCAAATTGGTTTTATCTATTTTCTGTCTCTTCTAAGATGTCATCTGTGAACTCTCCAAATGAAGGAGGACTGTCTATATTGCCTTTTCTCCTTATATGTCAGTAACGATTAGGTCAGGATACTGGATTCATGAGTCAGTATGTATGGGGCGATAGAACTAACTGATTCACTGAGGAAATTTTCATTCTTTTTGTCCTTCATATTACTTTAGGCTCCTCTAAGCAAGATCCAGAGCCCACAAGCCTTTGATCCTGGTTAGACAGCTGACTTCATGTCTGTTTCTGTCTAATTTTGTTATCTGTCACCTGTGTTGGAGATGAAGTCCCTTAAGGCATATTCTCCCACATGGCAGCTCATAATGAAGGGAAAGAAATTTCCTAGAGATTAAAGACTTCCTAGGGCATTCTTGACTTTCATGTAAGTCACAGAACTCCAAGTCTGAAAGCATCTATCTATATGTTTTGAGTCACTTGTAGACTATATGACTGGCCATGCTCAGGGAGTAAATAATCAGCCTTGACCCTCAGGTAACTCAGTCCTGCCAGACCAGGTTCTGATCTGATCAGATAAGTGACACTCTGGGAAAATTATACCTAAAACCCATAAGAAAGCAATTGTCTATGAATTGGCTATTTGTTGATTCTCTGTTACCTATAAAACAAAACGAGCTGTCTCTAAAGGGGAAAAACCATATTACCTCAGGGTACAGTGAAGGAGGTAGATGAACATAAGTACTATAAGAGTTGGAGAAATACCTTCCTAGAGAAAATAACCTTAGATCAAGTGGAAGGTAATAATTTTTTCAGGATCTTGGAGTATTCTTTTGAAAAGCAACTTTTACTGAAAACTCATTGCTTCGGGTTGAATGGAGAAGGCATTTTTTCAAAGGAAAAGCCTATTCAAATCAGAATCAAGTAAAAGACATTGAATTCAAGGATACATTGCCATTAAAGTAAGAAATAACAAGATGACTTTTGAAATCTTTGCTGGAAACAGAATGGTATTATGTTGCTGATGTCCCTCTTCTGTTATTGCCTATCTCTAGATGGGTCAAGTGAAACGTTTTTATCATAGAGAAAAATTTAGAGTGTAAAGTATGGGAATTCCTCAGAACTTTTTTGTTTTATTAGATTCAATGCATGGCAAAATCAGAGACTGTGGAGCTTTCTGCATTTGGTGATGGAGTTAAGATTTTTCTCTTTCCCTGAATTTGCAGAATTGATTTGCTTTAGTCCAGCCTTGACTGAAAGAGAAAACCACTTTTGGAGTGAAAAAAAAGTCTATAGGAACCTTAAGAAACTTGATATAATGAAAAAGATCATTAGAATCAAGCAAATTAAAGATGTGACCACAAAATCTGCAAGATTTCCAAGGCTTCCGTAGAGCTGCATTTAAGGAAACATTTGCTGAGTGTAAAGCTCCACGCTGTAACTGCGGAGGCTACTGAGGCTGTGGAGGAAGTTGCTGCCGTTGCTTCCTGTAGCAACAGGGCCACCATGCTGCTCTTCCCCTTTGTCCTCACCCTAGTTTTCATCCTCCTCCTCATCCGCTCCTAGCATGTTCTTCGCATCTTCCTTGAAGCATACCTTCTCTGTGTCACTTTAGAACAATTTGGCACCCTACTTGTCTTACATTGAATGTCAATGGTCATACGTTCAATGAGGTAAGGAATAATTTCAAGAAGATAACAATTTGTTCTCCTGGAACTCAGCAATTTCTGCAGCCCCCTGGATATTCTTTGCCAAAAGGACTTTTCCTTAAATCCACTTGCTACAGGTTGCTGAAGAAGTCATTCTTTTGAGGGAAAAGCCTATTCAAAGGAGAATCAAGTCAAAGACATTGAATTCAATGGTATATTGCTATTAAAGGGAGAAAGAAAAAGAGGACTTTTGCTATTTCCTCATGAAGAGAATGGTATGAAGTCATACTGATGTCAATGATGTCCCTCTTCCAATATTGTGGGTTTATCAATGCCTGTCTCTAGATGGCTCAACCAAAGGTCATCCTTCTGTGGAAAACCTAAGAGGAGAAAGGACAGGAATTGCTCATGCCTTGTTTGGTTTCATTAGATTCAAGGCATTGCAATAGTTACAAACTGTTGAGCTTTCTGGTTTAGTTGGTTGCCTTAAGACCTGTTCTTTCCCTTAATTTGCATAATGGATTGGCTTCAATAAACCCTTATCTGGAAGAGTAAAAGACATTTGGTTGGAACAAAGTCTGTAGGAATTTTAATAAACACAATATAACACACAATATTAACAGAATGGAAGAATATAAAGATGTACCCTCACCACCTGCAAGATGACCAAGATTTATGGGCAGCTTCCATGAAGGATACATTCTATGTGTCAATCTTGAGAAATTTGGCACCCTACTTGTCTTACAATGGATGTCAGTGGTCATACTTCAGTGAGTAAAGGAAAGATTTCAAAAAGGCACCTATTAGATCTAGTGAATGTAGCAATTTCTCAAGGTCCTTGAAATGTTCTCTGGGAAAGGGGCCTTTGCTGCAATCCACTTGCTACAGGTTGCATGAAGAAGTCATTCTTTCCATGGAAAAGACTATTCACGGCAGAATCAAGTCAAAGACATTGAATTCAATGGTGCATTGCTATTAAAGGGAGAAAGAAAAAGAGGACTTTTGCTATTTTCTCGTGAAGAGAATGTATGAAGTCATATTGATGTCAATGATGTCCCTCTTCCAATATTTTTGGATTATCAATGCCTGTCTCTACATGGCTGAAAGCAAAGGCCATTCTCCTACAGAAAAGCTTAGAGGAGAATTGACAGGAATTCCTCAGGCCTTGTTTGGTTTCATTAGATTCAATGCATTGCAACAGCTACAGAATTTGTAGCTCTCTGACTTTGGTAGTTGAGTGTCTTAATGTGTCCTTTCCCTGAATTTACAAAATGGATTGACTTTGGTCAATGCTTGACTGAAAGATTACACCACAGAACTTTCATAAACATGATAAAACGCAGAATATTATCAGAAGGAAAGAGGTTAAAGACATGCCCACCCTACCTACAAGATATAAAAGATTTATGGCCAGCTTTCTTGAAGGATACCAACTCTGTGTCAATCTTGAGCAATATGGAACCCTACATGGGGTACACTGGATGTCTGTGGTCATATGTTCAATGAGTAAAGGAAAAAAATTCAGGATGACACCTATTAGATCTAGTGAAGGTAGCAATTTCTCCAAGTCCTTGAAATGTTCTCTGGGAAAGGGACTTTTGTTACAATCCACTTGCTACAGGTTTCATGAAGAGCTCATTCATTCAAAGGAAAAGCATATTCCAAGCAGAATTATGTAAAAGTGATTGAATTCACTAGTGTATTTCAAATAAAGGGAGAAAAAGAGATGACTTTTGCAACTTTTCTGTGGTAACCACTGGTATGAAGCCATATTTATGTCACTGATGGCTCTTTTTTTAATATTATGGGTCTGTCACTACCTATGATTAGATGACTCAAAGGAAACAATCTTCTTCTAAGCACAATCTTAGAGTGGAAAGGATAGGAATATATCAGGATTTGTTTGGGTTTATGGGATTCAATGCATTGAAATAGTTACAAACTGTCTACCTTTCTTCCTTTGCTGGTTGAATTAAAACTTTTCCTTTCCCTGAATTTGAAAAATGGATTTGCTTTGGTTAAACATTATCTGGGAGGAAAAAAAAGACATTTGATTGGAAAAAGTCTGTAGGAATTTCAAGAAATGTGATATAATGCACAATATTAACAGAATAGAAGAATATAATGATATGCCCTCACCACCTCCAAATGTCAAATATTCCAGTGGAATTGCTTCAAGGAAACATTGTATGTGTCAATCTTCTGTGATTATAGACCCTACATGTCTTACACGGGATGTCAATCGTCATACATTCAATGAGGAAAGGAAAAATTTAAAGAAGATACTTATTAGTTCTACTGGAAGGTAGCATTATCTGCAGCCCCTTGGAATATTCTTTGCCAAAGGGAATTTTGTGGCAATCCACTTGCTACAGGTTGCATGAAGAAGTCATTCTTTCCAGGAAAAAGGCTTTTCAAGCAGAATCAAGTCCAAGACATTAAATTCAATGATTCATTGTAATAAAAGGAAAAAAGAAGAGGAGAGCTTTTACTATTTTTCTTGTAAACAGAATGATATAAAGTCACATTGAGGTTGTTGTTGTCCCTCTTCCAATATGGTGGGTCTATAAATGCCTATCTCTAGATGGTTCAAAGGAAAGGTCATTCTTCTATGGAAAACCTAAGAGTATAAAGGACGGGAGTATCTCAGGTCTAGTTTCGTTTGATTGGATTCATATCTTGCAATAACTAGAGAATGTGTAGCTCTCTGCCTTTGGTGGTTTTGTTAAGACGTGTCCTTTCCCTGAATTTGCAAAAAAGAATGGCTTCGGTCAACACTTCACTGAAAGTTTACACCAAATTGACATGAGAATAAGTTTATAGGAACTTTAACTCAACCCTTACCTGGAAGAGTAAAAGACATTTGGTTGCAACAAAGTCTGTAGGAATTTCAATAAACTCGATATAATGTACAATATTAACAGAATGGAAGAATATAAAGATGTGCCCTCACCACATGCAAGATGTCCAAGACTGATGGGCAGCTTCCTTGAAGGATACCTTCTGTTTGTCAATATCGAACAATTTGGTACTCTACTTTTCTTACACTAGATGTTAGTGATCATACATTCAATGAGTAAAGGAAAGTTTTCCAGTAGACACTTTTTAAACCAAACAAAGGTAGCAAGTTCTGAAGGTCCTTGAAATGTTCTCTGGGAAAGGGACTTTTGCTGCAATCCACTTGCTACAGGTTGAAGGAAGAAGTCATACAAAATAATTATGTGAAATGGAAGGAGGGGGATGCAAATAACTAGGTATACAAAAGGTATATACAGAGTAGAGAGAAGGTAATCACAGAGGGACTGACTGGCACCTGGAAAGGTTTCCTGCAGGAGATAGGCTTTGAGCTGAATCTTAAGGGAAGTCAGTGAAGGTAGGAGATGGAGGTGAGGAGGGAAAGTATTCCAAGCATCTGGGATAGCTAGGGCAAATACAAGGAGTTGGGAGACTGGAGTCATCTGTAAGGAACAACACATAGGCTAGTATGGGTGGATTGAAGAGTACTTGGACTTGAAAGGTAGGCAGAAGCCAGGCTGTGAAGGGCTTTAGATACACACATAGGATTTTATGTTTGATTCTGGAAGTAATAGGGAGTTACTGGAGTTTGATGAGTGTATGTGTGTGGTGGTGATGGGGGAGGAGGGACAGGATATATGGTCAGATCAATGATTTAGGAAAAGCTCCTTGTCATCTGAATGAAAGATGGATTGGCGTGGGTGGAGAAGGGGTAGGGAGACCACTTAGAAGACTATTGCAACAGTACAGGAAAAAGAAAAAAAAAAAAAGGAACTGCAGACCTGCAGGAGTGCTGTGACTATGTGAGTTGAGCAAAGGGTCTTTTACAAGAACTGTAGACAACAGATTTTATATGGAGGGTGAGAATAAGGAGCCAAGGATGAAAGTTTGAGAGAGGGGAAGGTTTAGGGAGAAAGATACTGAGTTCTATTTTGCACATATTGAGTTTGAGGTGCTTATATGACAACCAATTGGAGAAGTTCAATAGGCAATTGAACTACATATACCTCAGGAGATAGACTGCGAATGGATAATTATATCTTGGAATCATCTGCATGGCAGTTAATGAGATCACCTACCAAAAAAGTAGGAAAAAAAGAAAATCTCAAGATAAAAGCCTTGGGGGATTTCCTTGCTGAGTGGATATGATTGAAGATGGAACAAAGGCTACGGAGGAATTAGGTAAGAGGTGAAGCAGGAGAAAGCAATGTCATCAAAACCTAGGAAAGAGTTTAATCCACAACATCAAAGTTTGCAGACAGTCAAGAAGGGTGAAGATTTAAGAAAGGCCATTAAGATTCAACAATTTAGAAGATCATCACTAACTTATGAGTATAGCAAGCTGTAGAATGCATTTCCTGTTTTCTTGGCACTTGAGGCATATTATTTAACCTAAAATACTGATTTCGTTTGTGAGTACTTTTTCTTGGTCCCCAACCTGGAATCTCATTCGCGCTGAGAAAATTTTATTGGTGGAGAGAGCAAGTTTCAGGTGAACGGTGAGGTTAGAAGCCACACTGCAGAGGCAAGTGAGAGGAGGGGAAATAGAGGCACCCAGAGCAGGGGCTTTGAAATTAATGTCTTTATTTCTTATGTGCAAAGTAAACTGTGGAACTTGTTTCCTTTCTTACTGAATAGAGGAAGTTTTTTTTTTTCCTTTTGTGCATATTAATGGAAAACTGGAGAATATATTCCCTTTCATAATGCATTGAGAATAGGGGAAAGTTGTACTGAAAACTAAAGGATACGAGGCCCGAAAAAGTTTAGGAACTACCCTGCGCTTTTAGAAACAGTGTTTGCCTCTCTGTAAAATGAGCTGGAGAAGGAAAGAACAAACCACTCCAGTATCTTTGCCAGGGAAACCCTTTGGTTGGGTTGGACACGACTGAAAAGACTGAACACCAGTGGAAAACCCTGGAGAGTAAGAGGAAGGTGCTTTTACAGAGGTTTCTGGGAATCGTAGTTCTGAGACCACGAACTGGCGGAATACAGAATCCCGACCGGCAACGATGAAGCTGCGTACGCGCCTTCCTACCTATTACGGTAACTGCCTCCGCAGCAGCTGTTCTGCGAGCTTTTAGGTGTCTGGGAGAAATCAGAGCGGCCCCACCAATACAGGTGTCCAACCCTTGAACTCGACTCCCCGCAGCGTGATTGGGTCCTGCGTGATCTGGCAGCAATGTAAGGCGTTCACGTGTGTGCGTGCGTGCGTACGTGTGTGAGTGGTGTATGCGTGTGCACTTTTGTGGGTCCTGGGGGTCTCGCTCTAGGCAAGCGGAGGAATACATCAGCTCGTTCATTTGCCATGGGAACGCTGTAGGAAGGAGCGGATGGAGCCTGGGATTTGGGAGTCGGCTCTGGAAGGAGGAGGGAGGACCCTGGAAGGAGGAGGGAGGACCCTGGAAGCGCTGTGGCTCTGGAGGCATCCTCCGCCTTCTGCATAGTTTTGCCTTCACCTGCCCATTTTCCCTTTCAGATTCTTCGGGGCCACAGGACGGTGCACGTCCCTGGCGGGGAGGAGTGGAGCAGTAAATAGAACAGGAGGAGGGGAAGGATAAAAGAAAAGGATAGACGGTTGTGTGAATTTTTACTCTGCCCAGATTTGGGATTAGGCTTCTTGGTGACAATTGGATTAGATAGATTAGGACTCTTCAATTTAGCTGGGTTTCTTAACCTGAAAGGCTGTGAATTTGTGTGTGCGTGCGTGTGTGTGTTTTAATTTAGAATTGTATTTCAATATAATTGGGTTTTTTAAATAAATTTTATTTTATGCACGTAAAAACATTATTCTGAAGAGTCCAAAAGCTTCACCCAACTTCCAGAGCAGTACATGACACAAAAAGGGTGTGACCCTTCTCTTCCCTGTTTCCTTAGCACTTGAGACATATTATTTAGCCTAAGATATTAATTTCGTTTTTGAGTACTTTTCTTTGGCACCCAACCTGGAATTTCACTGGTGCTGAAACTCCCTCTTCTAGGATGGCTAGGTACTTGCTCTTCTACTTAGAGGAGGAGGCATTCTTAACCTGTAGGCCATGAACTCCTATTGTTTTTTAAAAAATAAAAAACCAACAAACATTTTGATCATTATATTTTATAATTATATATATGAGTATATAATTGATTTCTTTTAAAATCTTTTTTATGCGTTTAAAACATTATAACAGAGGAGTCCACAGGTGTCACCAAACTTTCGAAGGGGTGCATGACACAAAAGGAAGTAAATTGTGAGGGATATTGAGAGATTAAATGGGCTACCTAGGGTGATAACCAATAAGTGTCAGAAGTAAGACTTGAACCTATGTTTTCCTGACTGGGAGACTGATTTTCTATTCATTGAGCCAGGTAGCCTCTCAGGACACAAATCACTTGTGAGTACACACAGTACCTTGGGTCACTCCTAAAGATTGCCTCTGATTCTGTCATACTCAAAACGGGTTTTAAAAGAGTTTCCTTTCAGTGCACAAATTGAAAGTTGCTAACCCTGACTTTAAAATGATAAATCAAACGCTGTTTCCCATTTTTCCACAGAAGTGTTTATTTAGGAACCTCCCCTACCTGAACTACCTAGGTTTTTCCAGTAAAGGAATTTGGGAATTGTCCAAAATGTAACTTGTTTCCTTCATTGTTAAGGTAGTTTCCAAATAGGCCCCTATACCGCGTACAATTATTGAACAATTTTTTTAATGGTTTTATTCATCACCTTGTAGTAGTTAAGTATAGTCTTTCCCAGTTTTTGAGTCTTTGATCCAAACCAGTACTCTTTGCTAGTTTTTTTGTCCTGTTTCCAATGACATTTATACATTCAACAAACATTTATACAGTACTCACTATGTGTGCAAAGCCTAATACTGGGTGCTATGTCAGATTAATGGAAGAATAAGATAGTCTCTGTCCTTGTAAAGTTAGATGAATGTATCTTTCAGCTCTGAGTGGCATAGATGTGGTAGGAGGCAAAATCAATTTCTCTATTTGTCTCTATCTGTATATTTTTATAGACCAAGAGACCTAGATATATTTGACTAGATCTATGTATATTTGACTAGACCAAGAGTCTTGAGATCTAATTTCAAGTCTTGGTCCTGCTATTTTTACTTGTATAAACTTGAGTGAATTAACCTGGCTAAATCTTAGTTGATGTAGATGATTAGATTTATATTATGTAGTTGATGGTATGATTGTAAGGAAACTTATGTAAACTGTAAAGCACTAAATACTTGTGAGCAATTATTATGTATACTTGAGCCAGTGCTGAAAGCTAAATATCTTTCTTAACAATATCCCACTGCTGCCCATTAATCACTTTCTTTGTAGTTTGTATGTTTACAGGGTCTTATCAATCTCTGCAGGGCTAGATGATATAACTGGTGCTTCTGGGTCTCCCCAGCCAACCATGATGAATTGCTACCTACAGTATACATCAGGAATGTCTGCAGGTTTTCAGCTTGAAAGGAAATGAATCCTTGCTAAGAATATAGATTTGAAGTCCCTAATGATGGTCTCCAATGGAAAGATGCTGACCCTGAATAAGATGATGACTCTAAGTTCCCAAATCCTGGCTGTATATGAACAAGATAGATTACTGAGAGCAGATGCCTCAAAGGACAGAGTAACCATTCTAGGAAAAGAGAAATTTAACCATGAGGCTTCTCGCCAGAACTTCAGATGTTTTCCATATCCAGAGAAAGCTGGACCCCGGGAGGCTGTGAACCAGCTCTGGGAACTCTGCCTTCAGTGGCTGAGGCCAGAGATTCACACAAAGGAGCAGATCCTGGAGCTGCTGGTGCCGGAGCAATTCCTGACCATCTTGCCCAGTGAGATCAGGATTTGGGTGAAGACACAGCATCCAGAGAACATTGAGGAGGTGGTCGCTATGGTGGAGGATTTGACCCAGATGCTTGAGGAAAAAGGTGAGAGCTGCAGAAGGAAGAGAGTGAAGTCTCTTCAGGATATGAGAAAGGAAAATGTATAACTTGAGGTATCCTTGGAGAAACAGTAGTGAAGGGAAGAAACAGTAGGGGAGAAGGGAGGTTTCTGGATTGATGGAGGAGAGGAGGCAAGCACCATGTACTTTCTGAGTGCTGAGAACCTTTTTAGCCTCAACATTAGTACTCTATCTCATTTATCTAATTCAGTCCCTTCTTTACAGCTTTACAAAGCATGTTTTTCACTGGCTATTTTTTTTTTTTTTGGTGGAAAAGCAGGGAACAGTAAAACTGTTCAGCTCTTCTGTAAACTTTCACAGCTTACTTCGAAAGGTTTATTGGAATTACCATCCATCAACCAATGACTCTGAACATTGGGTTCCATAGTAATACCTTGAAATTATAATGTTTTTTATCTTTTGAAGATCCCTGTGGGCTAAATAATTATAACTATCCCAATTTTACAAATTGGAAAAATGAAGGTAAATATAATCAATTACTTACTCAGGGTTACATAAGTGAGGCAATAGTTAAGGTTGGTCTTGGTCCCAGGTCTCTTTACTTCAACCCTTTATTTTTTATTTTAATGATAAATAGAAGATATTAAACTCTTCTTAATTAATTTACCATAAAAGGAACCTAGCAAATTGATCATTTCTTGTTTCCTAATTGAGTGGAGATGTTTCTGTTGCAGAGAGTTTTATTACATATTCCAGAGGACATATTAGATTAGAGACATTCACAATTGTGAAATTAAACCACATGTCTTAAATCCCAAACCAGACTTCTGTCCTTGGAACCTGTTCAGACCACACAGACAAACTCAGGGCTCCAGATAGCATTATCCTCTTTGAATTTTTCTGAGCTTGTAGACTAATCTTATTTCCATATTTCTTCCTTCTCAGCTCTCTGTTCTCAGGATTCTGTCCTTTCCCAAGAGGGAGACAGAGACAGAGAAAGAGAAGGAATGCTGACTGTGATCCCAATAACCAGATGTCAGGTAAGTTAATTTCCTCTCCCTTTTCTGAAGAGTTGGTTGTGAGTGTAGACACTTTTCCTTTCTTTTCCCTGGAATTTCTTTGTTTAAAAAAAACCTACAAAGAGGCCTGAACCCCTGTTGTTGGGTCACAAGAGACTAGGCCTATCTTAGTAGATGATGGACACTATAGAGCAGTACTCATTTACTAGTGCTTTCTCTTCTCTACCTAGCATTTACTTCTGTCTACTTTGTGCTCAGTACCATGGTAATCATCCTGAAGTTTACAAAAGAAATATAAAGTACTTGGATTCCAAGACGTTACAGTGCCAGAAGGTATGGTACAGGAAGTAAGTGCTATATGAGATCAAAGAATGAAGAGACCTACTTGGATTGAAGAATAGAAGATAGAGTCTGCTGGTCCTGAAAGATGACTAAAATTTAATTAAATAAGGAATATGGGAAAGTGGATTCCAGGTGTAGGTAATACCATAAACTCATGCATAGAAGTGGACATGAACATGTTTTCTGCAGTAGCCAATGTAATATACTGGCCTGGCTAGATTAGAAAGGTAAGATAGTGGGGAGCTAGGTTTGAAGATGGTCTCTCAAATTCCATTATGACTTTATGTTGGAGCCGGTAGAGAACCATTCAAGTTTTCTGAGGAGGGAACTGAAATTATGAAAATAGAGTGTTAGGAATAAATGGTCATTGTTTGGATGGTAGGGTGAAAGATAAGGAAGAGTCAAATTGCAGAGTTCTTTGCCAGGAATAATGATGTTATGTGTAGTTTTCTTGACTTTGTCTGACTGACTATTTCAGGCTGTTGAGAACAGAACATTCTACTAACCCTCATCAGGCCAAGCCTCTTTCATACCCAGACTTCAGTTCACCTGGACAAGCCTGCATTTATATGGCTCTGAACCTTCTAGCTAGCTGACGGGGGCAAGCAGTCACCTAGTAGATCTCCAACTTGAGCAGGTCTGTACCTCGACTCACATTGGGACTGAGAGCATGAAAAGTTCAAACTGGGGTGAGGGGGAGGAGGGAAAGGAGAGTGGGAAGGGGGCCGAGGCAGCAATCAGACTTTTCCCTAGATCAGACCCCTTAAGGCATGCTGAAAATTTATAGGTGTCCAGCCTGAGTTACCACTTAGATCTTTGAAGAACACAATAGTCTCCCCAGAAAAAGCAGCAGCTGAATCCCAGAGAATGACCAAACAGGGTCTCAAACATTCCCCCCAGAAATGTGCAGAGCCTGTTCCTAACACCAAATCCCAATTCAGGGAGTAGGTTTGGAACAATTAGTAAACAAAGATACCCACCAAAAAAAGAGCTGTTATGGAGCCAAGGATGCCCAAGACACAAACCTCTAAGAAGAGGTTAACTCCAAAATATCTATAAGCAAAGCCTCAAAGAAAAAAAGCTTAGCCACAAGGTCATGTAGAATACTTGGAAAAAATGAAGAAAGAGTTTAAAAATCATAAATTAAATGAAAGATTTAGAGAAAAGAATTGAGAACAATAGTGGAAAGACTTAGAAGAAGTAACAAGTTAGTATAAGAGATACAAAACTTTGCCCAAGAACAGATTCCCTAAAAATTAGAATGAACCAAACAGAAGTTAATAAATCCACAATCCACAAGACAACAAGAAATATTAAAAACAAAGCCAAAAGGCTGGAAAAAAAATAAAGGAAAATGTAAGGTACTTAATATTAAAAAAACTGACCTGTAATAAGATCAAAGAGAAGTCTAACTATCATTGGATATGAAAAAGCCCAAAACAACCCAAAAAAAAGTTCCAATACCATATCTGAAAAATAATGAATGAAGTGCAGACTTGTTAGAACCAGAAAGAAAAATGAAAACAGAAAAGAATCCTCTGGTCCCCTTCTGAAAGAAACCACAGAATGAAAACTTCCAGGATCACCCTAGACAAAATCCAGAGCTCCCAGCTCAAAGAAAATTTACTTCAGTTTCTAGAAAGAACATTCACATACCAAGGAGCCATTGTCAGGATCCCACAAGATTTAGCAGCTGCCATAATGAAGAAGTGGAGAGCTTAGAATATAGTGTTCCAAAAGGCAAAAGATATAACCAACAATAACAAGTCAGTAAACTATACTAAGTAAAACATCCTATACTAAGTAAAAATCCTATAGAGGAAAAAAAATGGACCTTTGGTGAGATAGATGACTTTCCCAAGAGGAAAATTTAGTTTGCTACATACTTTCATCAACAAGAAAGAGAACAGATCAGTGGATTGTGCATGCAGCTAAAAAACTACAGAACTAACATTTAAAAAAAAAACCACCAAAATAGAAATTCCGAAAAATTTAGTTTGATTTTTTAAAGCGTATTATTAGAAAGTATTTTATCTAGCTGTATGCCAATAAAACCAACAACTTAAATGAAATGCATGAATATTTGCAGAAATGAAAACCAAAATAGAAAACTGACATAACCCAATCTCAGAATAAAGATACTAAATAAACCAAAAACTAACTCCCAGGGAGCAAGGGTTAGGAATCCCTCAGATGAGATGGATTTACAAGAGAATTCTATCAAACACTCAGAGAGCAATCAATTACAGTATTATATAAACTGTTTGCAAAAATATCCTACCAAATTCTATTATAAAACTGTGATCTCTGTATGTAAACTAAGGAGAGACAAAGCCGGTGGGGGAGGGGGGAGGCGGTAGGAGGAATTAAGACCAATAGCCCTCATATATGTTAATGCATAAATTTTAAATAAAATATTAGCAGAGGCTATAGAAGCACATCACAAAGATTATATACTATGGTTAGGTTAAATTTATACCAGAAATGGATGGTTGGTTTTTTATTAGGACAATTGCCTACATAATAGACCATATTAATAACAAGAACAACAAAAATCATATAAATTAAAACATTTTTGACAAGCTATACCCATTCCTGTTTAAAAATATTAAAATTTAAATTTTATTTTTATTATTTTTTATTTTATTATTAAATTTTAATTAAAATTTAAAAAATTAAAAAATGGACTTTCCTTGATATAAGTAGTATCTATTTAAAACTAAAAGCCAATATTATTTGTAATAGGGATAAATTAGAGGCCTTTCCAGTTACGTGAAGGATAAAAGCAAGGATGTCTGTTATCACTACTGCTATTTAATGTGTTCAAAATGCTAACTAATAAGAAGAAAATAGCAAATAAACATTAGCAAAGAGGAAACAAAACTGTTGTTTTTCTCAGATGATATAATAGTTTACTTAGAAAATCCTGAGTCAACTGAAAATTAATTGAAACAATTGAGGACTTTAGTAAAATCAAATGATATAAAATACATCAATATAATCATTTCTATATATTACCAAGAAAACCCAGCAAAAAAAAAGAAATTCCATTTAAAATAATTACAAAATATATAAAATACTTAGAGAGTCTACCTACCAAGACACATACAGGAACTATACAAATACAACTACAAAACACTCTGTGGAAATAAAGACAGACGTAAAACTGAAGAAATATTCATTGTTTATGGACATATCTATATCATAAAAAGGACAATACTACCTTAATTAATTAATTAATTATTGCCATACCAATCAAACTACAAAATGATCATCTTATGGAGCTAGGAAAAAATAATAAAACTTACCCGGAGGAACAAAAAGTCAAGAATCTCAAGGAAAATAATGAAAAAAAGTGGGATGGAACAGAGTTATGACAGTAATCTTAAGCAATATGACAAGGCAATAATCATAAAAACAATTGTTATTGTTTAAAATATATAGATAGAAGCTGATTAGTGGAGAAGATTAGATATACAACATATGGTAGCAACCCCAAAATCCCAACAATTAGGATTAGCACTCATTTTTTGACAAAAACTAATAGAAAAACTAGAAAAGAGTATGGTAAAAATTAGGTTTAGACCAACAGTAACACTGTATACCAAGACAAGCTCTGAATAGATAATCACTAAGATATGAAAGGTCATATCAAAAAAATTGAGGAACCAGGAAGAAATTAACTTTCAGATCTATAGATAGAAAAAGAATTTATGCCCAAACAAGGAATAGAAAGGATTACATAAGATAAAGTGGACAATTTTCAATACAGGAAAAAAAAGGGAGAGAAATGAAACAGTTAACTGAGGAAAAATCGTTTTAGCAAGTTTCTCTGATAATAGTGTGATTCTTTCCCAATTGATAAATGGTCCAAAGATATAAAGAGTAAGTTTTTCAAAAGAAGAAAGAAATCCAAGCTATCAACAACCACATTTTTTTAAATTATCCAAATCATTATTAATTAGAGATAATTAAAGCGATTCTAAGTATAAAAGGAAAATGACAGATGTTGGTGGGGCTACAGGAAAACAGGCCCACTAATGCATTCTGGAAAACTGTTTAGAACTGTGCTTCCAAAGTCATCAGACTCTGCATACCCTTTGACCCAGCTATGCCACTACTAGACATGTACCCCAAAGGGATCAAAGAAAGAAAAAAAGGACCCATATGCACAGAAATATTTTACAGCAGCTCTTTTTCTAGTAGCAAAGAGCTGAAAACTAAGAGTGTACTCTTCAAATGGAGAGTGGCTTACCAACTCATCATGTATGGTATCATATGTAATGGAATATTTTGAGGCCGTAAGAGATAATGAAAGGGACAGTTTCAAGAGAGACGTGGGAAGACATGTATGAATCAATGTAGATTGAAATGAGTAAAAACAGAACAATATATACATTAACAACAGCATTGTAAATAAAACCAATGTTGAATGGCTTAAACACTCTGATCAGTGAAGTGACCAAATCATAATTCCAGAGGATTGATGTTAATAAATGAGGCTACCCACCTACTGCCAGAGAGGAAAGGGATTCACCAGGCAGAATGAGACGTACATTCATAGACATGACCCATTCAGGAATTTGTTTTGTTTGATCATGTCTGTTTGTTAAAAGAATTTGTTTTTCTTTCTTTTCATTTGGGAGAATAGGGATGAGAGGAGAGAATATAAATGGCTATTAATTGAAAAAAGTAAAATGTTTAAAATTTTCTTTGATTTTATTATAGATTCATAGGGCTTTATTATCTTTGATGTTATGAAATAGCATAATCAGTTTGCAATTCTTACTGTTGATATAGAACAGAATACTGTGGGAAAATCAAATTTAGAAATAATGATCAAGCTATATTTTTGTCATTGAACTCCTAGTATTCTCTTAATAGAATTTATAGTAATTGGCAAAAACGAACCCTGCCATTCCTGTGGTACAATAAGTAATAAATTACTAAATAAAATAAAATGGTAAAGGAAAGATAGAGATTGCAAAGACCTGTATGATCCACAATTTGAATAATACAAGCCCCTGAAAATAATTAAGCTCAACTATGTTAATAATGCAATTTTATTAAACTATAATACATAGTAGAAAGAGAATTGAAATCAGAGGGAGTACACCTTAATTCCACTTATACAAATTAGCCAAGTGACCCTGAGCAAGTCACTTAATTTCTCTGGGCTTCCATTTTTTCACCTGTAAAATGAGGGCTATGTGATCTCTAAGGAACCTTCCATTTCTGGCATTTTATTCTTTTAAATATATGATCTTGAGTCTATTTAACTACTCAATCTTTCTCAGTTTTCTTATTTGTATGAAAATCCATGTGCCTGAAGAGGCATATTACTCCACTGTTGGTGAACCAGTGAATGGCTATTCTGGAATATTGTAGAATTCAATTTGGAGTCATAATACAAAAAGTTACTTAACAGTATATGTCCTTTGACCCAGACATAGGCTTATACCCAAAAGAGATCAAGAAAGAAGGAAAAGTCATATATATATGAAATTATTTATAAAAAGCTCTTCTTGTCATGGCGAAAAAAAAAAAGACAACCTAGAAAGCCCATCAGTTGGGGAATGGATGAACAAATTGTGGTATCTGAATATAATAAATGTTATTGTGCTGTAAGAAATGAGGAAAGAGGTGATTTCGTGGAGACATAGAAAACCTTATATGAACTGATGCAGAATGAATCAGAATCAGAACAATTTCTACCATCACATAAATATTCCAAAAATGAACAATTTGGGGGAGTTATGAACTGATAATGAATGAAATAAGCAGAACCAGAACAATTTATATAATAACAAGACAGTAAAAACAGTATTAAAAGTATAAGAACTATGATCAATACAGTGACCATCCATGATTCCAGAGAATTAATGATGAAACATATTGTCTACCTCCTGAAAGAGAAGTGATAGATTTTGGGTACAGAATAAAACATGTATTTGGATACAGACAATGAGGAGATTTATTTTTTGCTTCACTATGCACTTTTGTTACAAGGAATTTGTTTTTTTTTTTCATTGAGGAGAGAGTTGGGAAGGAGAGAGAATAGATTTCTGTTCGTTTTTTTATATTTAAAAATGGGGTGTTGTTATAGTTGTGAAATGTTGCATGATTTTGCAAATGAGGTCACTGTATTATTACTTTTGTCTAATTGTTTTGCTTTACTACGAGACCTCTCATAGAATGATAATAATCTGTAACTTTTTTTAATATTAAAAAAAAAGCCCATGGGCCCAGGAGGTGAAGGGTGAAGGTTGAAGCCCTTATCTTCTAAAAAGTCTCAATTCTGAAGTCACATGCACCTGGTTCATGTCCTGAGGTATCCTGACCCCAGAGTAAAGAGATCAAGCACTTTTCACACACTGTAGCTTTTTACCATCTCTTTCCCCTTCCATGGAGCCCCAGAGACAATCTTTTACAGCCTAGGAATAGCTCTTGCATGGTGCCAATCAAAAGCATTTATTAAGTGCTTACTATGTTCCTTCATAAAAGGGATTAACAGAGTCCCTAATAAGAGGGTGGATACTTTGTACAAAGTAGATCAGGTATAGGAAAGCTATTTCCTTCCCTATCAAAGAAATGCATAACCTAAAACTCACAAGCACATACTGACAGATATTTAAAACACCGTACAGTAACCCATCACATTATACTCTTCTAAAAGGCTGATGGGCAACTAGGTGGCACAGTGGATAGGGTACCAGACCTGGAGTCAGGAAGACCTGAATTCAAATCCAGCCTCAGACACTTACAAGGCAAGACACTTACTGGGCAAGTCACTTAACCCTGATTGACTCAGTTTCGTCATCTGTAAAATGAACTAAAGAAGGCAATGGCAAACCACTCTAATATCTTTGCCAAGAAAACCCTTAATGGGATCATGAAGAGTCATACATGACTGAAATGACTGAACTAGAACATAAATAGGAACTTAAAATATAAAAATATGAAATACATAGTGAGACTACTAGATGGGCATTTAGCCTTCACCTGTGCTCTCTCCATCCTGACCAAGATTATATATTATCACTGATGGAAATAGGGAAATTAGAAAGGGGAATTCTCTTTTTAGGAGGAAAGTGATAGAGGAGAAGTTGTAAGTATTTTGGGGAGTCTCCTGAATGAGCACAGATGTGTTTGGTGTTTCAGAAATCAATGACATTTAAGGATGTGGCTCCAGATTTTACCTGGGAAGAGCGGACACAATTGAACCCTGTTGAGCAGGCCCTCTGCAGAGAAGTGCTACTGGAAACTTATAGGAACCTAGTTTTTCTTGGTAAATATTTCCCTTATTATTCCAAATCTTTACTTTGATGGTATTTTTACTTTGTAAATTTTTGAAACAATGGGATGTCAGAAGTATTTAGCTGAATTTGGTCTAGAAAACCTAGAAAATAGGTTCTAAAATGCTTTTGGACCAATCAACAAGATACTTAATTGTATGTTTCTAAATGAAAAATAAGTCTCTTTGCCTTAGAGAAATAAAAATGAGACAACTTAACTCATTGACATCCCTGAGGCTGCATTTTCTCCATGCTCTACTCCTCTACATGTCAAGCACTGTCTGCTGTTACCGAGTACAGATAACTCCATGGGAGAAATTTATACCCTCCTAGGAGGAAAGATTAGTGACTTAAGTACCCTTCTCAACCTAAATCAATCCACAGACACTCAGACTTTGTGGGAACATGATATTGGATACTCTTCAGAAGTCCTTTGAACTATTCTTTGGACCTTCTTAGCATATCCACTCTTCTTTAAATATGAAGGAGTCTGAATTATATTCTGGAATGTCTCTTTTTCTAGGAGCAAAAACAATGTCTATTTCACTTCTTTTCCATGAACAGGTCTTTCAACAACCTCCAAACCAGATGTTATCTCTCAGTTGGAAGATGGAAAAGTTCCAGGGATGCTGGGTAGTGAAACTCCAAAAGGCACCAGTTCATGTGAGTGAATGAAAACTAGCAGATGGCAATTATTACAAGCAATAGATTGGGTAGTATAGTTAGTGAAGGAGAATACACTTCTGAAATGCTGGCCCAGGAAGTTCTCCTCAAAGTCTTTCAGGAGTGAGAAGAAAAGCAAAGGCTGATTTGAATTCCCATATGTTTTTTCATTGTCAGAAAATAGTGTATTCCTCTGCCTCTGTTTCCAAATTAGCATTCCCTTCCTAACCTCCTGAAAGGTGGCTTCCACCTCCATTTATTTTATGGAAACTGCTCTTTTCACTGATTTCTTCTGTATGTTCTTTTCATATTTAACCTCCCTGCCTCCTGTGATGGTAACTGAGCAGAATCACAGATAAGTTAAAAGGGTCTTCAGAGGCTATCTAATCCAACCTATACCAGAAAAGGAATCTTCCCTTTCCCTGTCACCCTGTCTCCGTTTGAAGAACTATTATGAAAAGGAATTCACTATTTCCAGAGGCATCTCATTACACTTTAGGCAGAGGTGTTTTAATTTACCTTTTAGGTCAAGTGGAGTACCATTGGTGGATGATGATATAAAATGTATTGTTGTAGAAATTTAATCTGATAATTGAGTGTAAGATACATTGAAAGAGTACAGGTGTAAGCTGAGGAGGTCCTACATTCCAATCCTGTTCTCATTAATATTTGCTTTATATCTACTTTGTATAACCTCTGCCCTTGTTTCCTTTTCCCCCTTCTCAGTCTCTTCATAGATAGAAAGTCTATATATGGGAACAATCAGTAGTGCCAATAACTCACAATTATATGGCATGTTTTGCTTTTTTAAGCTCTTTTTACAAACAGCCTCTTTTGTCTTAAGGTTGCTAGTAAAAAAAATTCTGCATGTCATGCTGTAATTGAAGCATTGTGATGATTCAGAGTCAGAAAACTTGGTTTCAAATCTTGACTCTGCCATTTATAATCTGTGTAACTTTGATCACTTAGCCTCTCTGGACTTCATTTTCTTCACCTTTTAAGTGAATGGAACTTCTGAAGTCACTTTCTACTCTAAATTTTTGACACTGTGATATAGATGGGTACAAATTCTAGCTCCACTCCATGTAACCATGTGTTTTAGTGTCTTACTCATTTTTCCAGAGGATTAAGGGTTACTTTGGGAGTTTGTAGAAAATAATTAATGTTGAGGAATGATCAGATTCTTATATTCACATTATTTTCTACATTTAACTGCAATTATTCTCCAAGTGAGTCATTAGTAATAAATTAACTCTCTAGTCCAGCCTAATGAAGGAAAAAAAACAAGCCACATGCATAAAACTTAGAAATCTAAGTTTCACTGAAGGTTGTTCTTTATAGTCAATGGAGGTCTCAGCTCTGGTAAAGCTAAGATGACTTCTTCCTCAGGTCAGTGTTGTAAGTTTGGTCTCTACCAGTTGAGACCACAGGAACTCACTATGTCTGATCAGCCAATGGAGGACAGGATGATGGGAAAGGATAGCAGCCCCTTAGGGATCTCTATTGGTAAAGTAGTGGATGGTGACCACCATAGGTTTCATAGAAGGTTGCAGGACCAGAGAAGGGTTTCCTTCTGCTATCTGTACAGATGAAGTAAAGGGAAGAAGGGGGAGAATAGCAGTTCAGAACCCTTCCAAAGATGGCAGCAGCCAATTATTAAGCATCTCCTCAGTGCCAAGCACTGTTCTAGGCCCTGGGAATACAGAGAAAGAAACGAAACAGTCCCTGGCTTCAAGGAACTTAGATTCTTTTGGGAGAAACAACATGTACATAAGTAAGTGGACATAAAGGAGAATGAGGAGGCAGCTGGAGGAATCAGGAAAGGCTTCATGTAGAAGGTCTTGTTCAACAGTCATCTGAAGGGATTAAGGGATTCTAAGAAAAATGAGTGAGTTAGTATATTTCAGTGCAGACTCGTAGAAGTGGGAAATGTAGTCTCATATGTGAGGAAAAGCAAGGAGGCCAGTTTGGCTGGAACTAAAAGCGCATGAAGGGGAGTAATATACAATAAATTTGGGAAGGTAGGTTGAGGCCAGACTGTAAGAAGCTTTGAAAGCTAAAAAGAGATGCTATCGTAAAGGCAAGAGGAAGCCACTGGAGTTCATTTAGTGGGGGAATGATATAGTCAAATCTGTACTTAAGGAAAAGGGGCAGCTAGGTGTTGCAGTGGATAGAGCACTGGGCTGGGAATCAGGAAGACTCATCTTCCAGAGTTCAAATCTGGCCTCAGACACTTACAAGCTATGTGACCTTAGGCGAGTCACTTAACCCTGTTTGCCTCAGTTTCCTTACCTGTAAAATTAACTGGAGAAGGAAATGACAAACCAGTATCTTTGCCAGGAAGACCCCAAGAGTCAGACATGACTGAAAAAACAACAGTGTAAGGAAAATCATTTTGTCATTAATGCAGAGAATGGGTTGAAAGGGGGAAAAACCTGAGGCAGAGACACAAGTTAGGAAACCTTCAACAGAAATGGAAAATTTTGGAAAGGTTTGGGGTGGGGTGGGAGGAGGCTAATGAGTTCATTTTTTGATATGTTGATTTTGAGATGCCTATGGGACATTTACTTTGAAATATCTAATAAGCAGTTGGAGGTGAATGACTGACACTCAGAAGAGAGATTAGGGTTGGACTGGGCAGTAATTTGTATAGAGAGGATAACCGAATCCCAGGAACCTGAATTCACCAAACGAGAGAATAGAAAGAGAATAAAAGACCCAGGACAGAGCTTGAAGAAAACCCACGGTTAGCAATGTTGATATGGTTAATAAATCAACAAAAGAGACTGAAAAAAGAGGTAGGAAGAAAACCAAAAGAGAACAATGTCATGAAAACCCAGAGAGAGAGAGTATCTAAGAGGTCAACAGCGTTAAATGTTTCAGAGAAATCTAGAAGAAGGAGGATTGAGGAAAGAGCAACAGATAGAGCAGTTTCAGTTGAGTGATAAGGTCAGAAGCCAGATTTCAAAAGGCTGAGAAGTAAACTAGAGAGGAAATAGAGACAATAAACATAGTAGCTTTTACTTGGAGTTTGACTGTGAAGGGAAGGAAATATGTAGGGGTTATCTTGAAGAGTTGGTATTGTCTAGTGAGTTTTCATTCAAGGTGCAGGAGACTTTCCAAGGTTGCCTATAGGCAACAGGGAAGGAACCAATAGATAGGGAGAAATTGAAGATTAGAGACCAAGAGGGGATGATAATGGGGCATTCTGCCAGAGGATACAAGAAGGAGGATGCAATCAAGGGCACATGTAAAGGGGTTGGCCTTAGCAAGAAATCTCTTTATTAAAGACTACAATAAAGGAGAAAATTAACGATGACGTCAAGTGATTTTGTGATATAGAAAAGGGGAACTTGTGATGAATGGTCTGTTTTCTCAGCAAAGTATGAGTTAACATCCCTAGCTGAGGAAGAAGGAATTATCTGGAAGATAGAAGGAAAGGTGAAGAATAGTTGCTGGGGCAAGTGAGATAGAGACTCAATTAGGGAAAAGTAAATGAACTGTCTTCCTGTGGTGAAGGCTCAGTTTAGACTAAATGATATAAATTTGTAGTGAATCCAGTCTGCAGGGTTGGGTTTAGATATAGAGATAAGAGTAATTGGCGTGGAGATAATTAAATACATAGACTATGATGAGAAAGTGAGAAAGCATAGAGAAGGAATAGAAGAAAGTTCATGAGTTTTCCCTTTTTATACAAAAAAAGTTCCTTCTATGATACATATTTCAGTGTTTCCAGTTTCCAGGGATTCTAGGGTAGTGATTATCTCAATGGGATGGTGAGAGTGAGAGTATACAGAGTTCATCAGTCTTCTCTCTGTTTAGCATTTTAAAGCTATCACCTATGAGAACTAGCGTGCTACAAAAATTACTTCAATTGGACTGACCTGATAATTATCACAATTTCAGAAATGGAGAGTTTTTTAAAAGGGCTTTACGGATTGAAGGGAAAAACATGGGTAAGCAGAAGACAAAGTATCCCAAGCTGTTTTTTGTTTTTTGGGGTTTTTTTTTCCTATTGCTAACTAGCTTGCTCTATACCAAGGTTAAAGGCCTTGAAGCTTCTTAAGGGAAAACAATAAAGACTTTGTTTTAAAGAGTTAAAATTTTCCTCCTGGATTATGCATTATGAATACCAATCTAAAGAGGGATAGGGGAAAAATTTTCACAAGAATTCTAACATGAAAAAGAAAAGGGCCTCAAGTTAGCAATATAGCCATGATGCATGTATATATTCTCTAGCAAACGGTATGAATTCATTTACGTAAATTGAAGGCTATTATTTCAAGTTGCAAAAATCCTAAATAGCAAGCAGATCCTAATATACATTATTTAAAGGGTATAAAACTAAAGATCAGATATTATGGAAAGAATTATAGCAGTTAAAGTTCTGCTCCGTGTCTCTGCCACACTTGGGCAAGTTACATGATCTCTCTAAGTCTTCCTTTCCTCATGAAGAAAATGGCAATTGTGACAATACTTGTACTATCATACCAGGTAATAAAAGATTCCCTTTCTTCAGAACTCTTTGTTAACTTTAAGGAATTTAAATAAATAGGGGCAGCTAGATGGCTCAGTAAATAGAGCTTGGGCCTTGGAGTCAGGAGGACCTGAGTTCAAATCTGACCTCAGACACTTGACACTTACTAGCTGTGTGACCCTGGGCAAGTCACTTAACCCTGATTGCCTCACCAAAAAAAAAAAAAGAAAAGAAAAAAAAAGGAATTTAAAAAAATTTAAGTATTTCACTTTAGACCAGAGATTCCTAACACTTTTTGTGTCATGGACTCCTTTGGCAATCTAGTGAAGACTATAAACCCTGTCTCAGAATGTTTTTAAATACCTTAAATAAAATTCATAGGATTACAAAGGAAATCAATTTTATTGAAATATAATTATTAAAATATTGTTAAAAACAAGTTCACAGACCACCAAGTTAAGAATCTATCTTAGACATTTTTTTTCCACTTTGTTATCCCATTCCAGTGGCAACAGTTTTTTTTTTTCTTCTGGCATGAGGAAAATTTACATATATACATATATATTTTTTTTTCTTTCAGATTGGGATACTGTGCCCAAAGCCAAAGATTCAGTTATAAAATGGGACACTTTTGCGAAAGAATCATCTCAGAGGGTGATAATGAAAAGATCCACAAGGCATTGCTCTTGGCAACTGGGAGAATCTTTTATATGTTATGATACATTAGTAAGGCAACAGATCCACCAGGAGAAACTGGTAAAGCAATCAACAGTCACATCTGAACAAATATCAAGTAAGGGGAGAATCTTTGAAAGAAATGAATTTGGGAAAAACTTCAGTCTAAGGTCAATCCTAGTTACACAGGAGAGAGTTCCTACAGTAAAGAGTCTCTATAAGTGGGATATGTATGGAAAGAGCTTCAAAAATGATTTGTACCTAATTAAGTCCCCAAGAATCTATGCAGGGAAGAAGCCTTTTAAATATACTGAATATGGGAAAACCTTCAGCCAGATTTCACAATTTAATCTTCATCAGAAAATTCATTCAGAAGAGATACCCTATAAATGTAATGAATGTGGGAAAGCCTTTTCCATCAGATCACATCTTACTCAACATCAGAGAATTCATTCTGGAGAGAAACCCTATAAGTGTAATGAATCTGGGAAAGCTTTTACTCAGAAGACACACCTTAATAAACATAAACATACTCATATTGGAGAAAAGCCATTTAAATGTACTGAATGTGGAAAAGTATTCAGTCTAATTTCACAACATAATCTTCATCAGAGAATTCATTCTGAAGAGGATCCCTATAAATGCAGTGAATGTGGTAAAGCCTTCACTGTCAGATCACGGCTTGCTGAACATCAAAGAATTCATGCTGGTGAAAAACCTTATAAATGTAACGAGTGTGGGAAAGCTTTTACCAAGCGGGCAAACCTTACTCAACACCAGCATATTCATGTTGGGGAGAAACCATTTAAGTGTAATGAATGTACAAAAGCCTTTAGCTGTATTTCACAATTTAATCTTCATCAAAGAATTCATTCTGGAGAGAAGCCATATAAATGTAGTGAATGTGGGAAAGCCTTCACCAAGAGGGCAAATCTTAATCAACATCAGAAAATTCATTCTGGAGAGAAACCCTTTATATGTAGTGAATGTGGGAAAGCCTTCACCGTCAGGTCTCACCTTACTCAGCATCATAGAATTCACTCTGGATAGAAATCCTGTAAAAGTAATCCATTTGGGAAAGCCTTTCCCACCAGGTCATGGCTTATGTAACATCAAAGAATTCCTATTATAGACTAACATTATTAAAAATGCAGATGATCAGAAAGGTCTCTGTTGTGTGACAGTAGTATGACCTGAGGACATACTCCTCAGCATCAAAGGAGGTGTATTGAATAGAAACTTTGTAAATTTCATGACTGTTCTAATCTTTAGCCAGAGTTCATTTCTTTCTTGAAATCACAAAATATCAAAATTTGTAACTTGAATTCACTGTCCTTAGTTCTGCTTTCTGGGGCCAACCTAAACACATTTCATTTAAAAACAAAAACCTAAGAGCTGGAAGGAACCATCAAGGTCATCCAATTTAAGCGATAACTGATCAAGAATACCTTCTGTAACATTCCTAACAAGTGATTATCTAGACTGTGAGAAGACCTATAATGAAGGAAAACCTTCCAAAGCAGCCCATTCCCTTTTTTGGAATAGCTCTCATCATTAAATTTTTCCTTCCATGAAACCTAAACCTGCAACTTGCAGTTGCAAACTTGCAACTTCTAGTCATTGCTCCTAGTTCTCTCTCAGGCCAAGTGAAATAATGTGATAATTGATTAGCAAGAGCTTTGTCCTGGTTCTTCTACTTTCTCCCCATTACTTCTCAGATATCTCACCAACTACCATGGCTTCAATCATTAAGCTACATGATAGGCCTACAGATATTTAAAGACAGCTTTCATGTCTGCTTTGTCATTTTGTTCTTCAAATCAAACCTGCCCATTTACTTCAGTTCTTATTTGGCACGTTATCCTGTTCTCCCATTGTCCTGATCACATTCTTCTGGAGATGTTAAAATTTGTTTATGTCTTTTCTAAAATGTGGTACTTGAGGTGTGGCCTGACTGGGATAGAAGGTAGTGGAACTATTAGCTTCCTCATTCAAGATATTATTTCATTCTTAATGAAGCTTTTTATTGCCATGGCATACTATTGTCTCATTGAGTTTTCAGTCAACAAATCCCTCCAGATCTTATTCACAGGAACTGATCTCTCCACACAGCACACACACTTCTTTGGTATTTATAAAGTTGTTTTTTCAAACACAGCTGTAGAACTTTACATTCATATTGATTATTTCATCTTATTGGATTTATCCTATTGTTCTAGCCTGTTGAAATTTTTCTAAATCTGGATTCTCAGCTGATGTGTCAGCTATCTGTTGTAGTGTTATGTCATCGTCTAGCTTGACAAGCATACCACCCAATGCTATCTTCCAAGTTACTGATAAAAATGGTGGGTAGCATAAGACCAAGAACAAATCTATGAGACACTCCTTTAGGTAACTTCTTCCAAGTTAATATCAATCAGTTATTGAGTATACTTTGACCATGGTCATCCATTTGGGTCCACGTCCACCTATTGTATTTTTATGTAGCATGTATAGCTCACTCTCATTCACAAGGACAGTATGTAAGTGGTCACACTACCCACACAACTGTACTTTTCCAGTATCATTTTCAGGTTCACCAATCATATTTTCCCCTTTTAGCATTCCATCTATTAGAATGTATGCTTCTTGAGAGAAGGGGCTCTCTTGCTTTTGTATTTTTACCACTGCCAGTTAGCACATAGACGCAATAAATGCTTGTTGATTGATTAGCATGGGTATTTACAAGACTTTGGTCCTGGGCCTTCTGCTTTCTCACAATTCTTTCAGCTATCTTGACTACTGTGGATTCAAATATTATCTCCCTGCTCATGACTCCCAAATACATAATCTTTCTTCTGAATTTCAGTCCTTCAATGTCAACTACTTACTAAACAGTTCCATATAGATGTCATGTTAGCTTCTATAACTCAGAATGTTAAAAAAAAAAAGTTAACAGCATTTTCTTCCCAAACTGGGATATCCCACAAATCTGCTTATTTTTGTCCAAGGCATTATCATCCCTACAGTTACTCAGTTTCTTAGCCCCAGTGTTATCCTTGACTCTTCCCTGTCCTTTACCCCATTCTCCCTTCCCTCAAATCCAGTCATTTACTAAATCTTGTTAATTTTATACAGACAACATTTTGTCTTGCATTAATCCTCTCTTTTTCATTCACATAGCCATTACATTAGTTCAAACTCTCATTACTCCTCACCTGAGATGCTAAAAATGACCTAATTATCCTGTTGTTTCCAATCTTTCTTCCTCTTCAAACCATCCTCTGAAAGGCTGTTAAAATAATATTCCTACGGGACAGGTCAAACCATGTTTCTCCCCTGCTTAAAAACCCTCAGTGGTTCTCAGTTGCCTATAGTATATAATATAAACTCATTAGCCTGGGTACTATATCTGAGGGGATCTTCTTTTCAGACACTGGAAAAGTGATCAGTTACTAATACTTGTTCTGCCATTTAGTAGGTATAGCACCTCTGATAAATAAAAGACTGCCTACACACTAACCTGATATATCCTAGCAAGGTTTATTGAAGGCTGTTTTTCATAGCTAGCCAGGATCTTGTGTAAGTAACAAGGATGAATACATGGGCACAGTAGTTTTCTTTCAAGTGCTTCTAGAACTGGAGGACTTAACCTTTTTTGTATCATGAACCTCTGTGGCAGTTTGGTGAAAGCTATAGACCCTTTCTCAAAATAATGTTTTTAAATGCATAAAATAAAATATATAGTATTACAAAATAAGCCAATTATTTTTAAATGCAGTTATTGTATATGTATATGTGTGCATGTGTCTGTGTATACGTGTGTGTACACACACACACACCCCAAGTTCATAGACCCCAAATTAAAAATCCTTGTTCTAGAAAGAAGAATGTGTCTTTCTCTAGCCCTACAGGTAAAGAGAGTCTTACACTTGCCATCTGTGCCATGAAAGTACATAGTTCCCCAGACTGCTTTTTGAGACACAGTAGCATAAAAATGGCTTTCCAGCCTTCCCCATAAATACAGAATGTCTCATCTCTGATGTGTGTTATTGCAATTTCAGTGATTTTCTTATTTCCCATGTATTCTGGGGCAGTGATTGATGAGGATGCAAGGTATTATCTATTGTCTCTGATCCCAAATCTTTATTTTGTGATCATTGAACGTTACACTTTGTTGAGGCAAAGGAAGAAGAAAAAGAAAATAGAAAGAGTGGCTCATTCCATGATTGACCTTGCAAATTTAATATTCATTACACAGACATTTGGGCTTCTTTTAACTGTATAATCCCAGAGCTGAGGGTAAAAATAATAGCAAAAACCAAAGGTTTTGTCCACGACTTTAGGTTCTCAACTCCTCAACCTCTTAATCCAGTCTCTAAATTTTAAAGTATGCCATCAGAAGTCTGAGGAACAAATCCAGAACTAATCATAATTCTAATTTCAGTCTCTAGTGTAGGAAGTATCTAGGAAGACTTATACTTAGTTGGGAGAGAGAAAGAAGTCTGTTGGAGAGTCGATAAGGAGAGCAGGCAGCAAAGACTGTGTTCCCCTTAAATAGTGTGTACAAATATAGAGGTTTCCTAATATGACTAGTTATGTTATGTCTGTGGCAGAAAAGAAAGCAATTCTCACTGAGGATATGCCAACATGTAAAAAGTGACTTGTTTTGTGTTATTGCTTGGATCTACATATGTTCAGCATTCTGTCCTAATTCTGATATCACCCCTTAAGTAATGGTTCCCTTGAGGGGCAGCTAGGTGGCACAGTGAATAGAGCACTGGCCCTGAAGTCAGGAGGACCTGAGTTCAAATCCACCCTCACTTACTAGCTGCGTGACCCTGGGCAAGTCACTTCACCCCAATTGCCTTAAAAAAAAAAAAGTAATGGTTCCTTTTACACATTTTTACTGTTTATATTCTAAAGGTTGATAATAATGAATACCCTACAGTAAAGGCTACTGGAAGGATAGCTTCCCAAACTGGCCCTTTGGGATGACCTCAGTTTGTACAATGATGACAGTTACCAGTTCAATATTTGCATGCCAGTAACTTTTCCAATATTCGGTTATCCCGTTTTGGCATCTTGATTACATTCCAAATATTCAAAGTTCATGTGATCTGCATTGTTTTCAAGAGGAGCTCTGTGTTCTTTCCTTATGTCTTAGGGTCCTCAGAAGTGGCACTACAAACTCCCTCTTTCAAATGAGTTGTTAGAAAATCTGAATGTACTTAGAATCAAATCAAGTCTGATAAACTACTACAAATCTGAATGCATTTAGAATCAAATCAAGTCTGATAAACTACTACATGAACATTTACCCATATGAAGGAAAGGGCTCAAATATTCTTAGGTATAGGGCAAAGGTTGTTAACTTTTTTTGTATCATGGCCTGTTTTGGTAGTGTAGTGAAGCCTGTGGACTCCTCAGAGTAATGTTTTTAAATGTGTAGAATAAAATATATAGGACTACAAAGGAAACATATTGAAATAGTTGCCAAAAAAATTAAGTTTGCAGACCCCAGATTAAGAACCCCTGGTAGAGAGGGAAAATGTTCACACAGACAAGCTTTTATCCTAATATATATTTACAAAATCCATGTAACCTTTTTAACTTTACAGTTATATTCAGAATTTCTATTCAAATGTATGAGCTTTCTTTTCTCTATTTTTTCCAACTCCTCTGAAACTTCCTAAAAGTTGTCTTTCTTTCACAAATATTGACAGCAAATAGGACCACATACAAATAGACACAGAAGCCTGATATGATTTATGCAAGGGCTCATGTACTTTGAAATTACTAGAGAAATATTTTCTCAAACCAAATTAACCCATGACACATTGACATACATACATTTACACATTAGACATAGGACCACAGAAGCGTTTATGATAATCATTTGCTAGACGGAGGGTACCAAGTCTGTCAACGGAATGTTCACATTACAATTGCTTCAATATCTTTTCTAAATCCGTATCAGGATTTTAGCAGCTATGATATTAAGCTTAAAAATAATTGAGAAGTGTTCCCCATTATCTCATAATCTCATGCGATGTTATTATTCACAATTTAGGGCTACTATTACATGAACATAGTAAGCAGGAGATTCAGACTTAAAGAAATAGCTGCTGATAGAATAACAGTTACAGAAACACCCTTTAAGTGAAATGAAAAATTGCAATAGATATTTTTCAT